AAATCTGTTGTAATTCTGTCATTCTGATACTTATACGTTTCAAATCCATTAAGTACAAGAAGGCCTTTGAAGTCATTTACGAACTGAAAGTTTTACATGGATAATAAATTATAACTTTTTAAGGCTTAAAAATCTGAAAATCTTTCATACAGGACTTTTAACTTACTTGAGCGTGATTCCGTTGATTTTGATACTTACAAGTAAATTTAACTATCTATTATTAGTTCCTCTAAATACTCGCCGTAATATTAAGAAATACATTCAAATTATTTACAAGCCTCAAAAGAGAAATGATTAAGGTACAAGATACAACGCTTCAACGTTGCATGGTTTGAATTTTAATTAAAATTGATTGATGCTGTAGAATGCTAATTGCCGAATAATTAACTTAGCTTTAAGGCACAGTGTTAACTATAGATTAGTAGTAACCAAATGCTTAGCTTACTAAATTTGATACGTCATCAAAATATTAAAAATATACGTACTTAACATTATACACTATTATACAAATTGTACTTTATATTTAATAAATTAAGTATAAGAAACAAATGTATCTGGATTTGCTCACATTTTTACGTAGTTGTCGTGTACTTTTTGTACTTTTTTCTAATACTATTTTTATTTCTTCATGTTGTATGTTGAATGTTTTTCTAGTTATCTTTTCCTTTTTGCATAAAATATTTACCACGAACTAAACATAATATAAATAATTCTTCAATGTTTCAACACGCAAGTTTCTCGTTCCTTCTTCTAATGGGTCATTAGAAGAAATAGGAAGAAACTTGCGCGTTATTCTTTAAAATTAATATAATTCAGTATAGCTATACACATATAAATATAGCTATTTGAAAAACAAAATAAATCAGTCAAACTTATCAGAGAGAAGTAATATTGACACTTTTACTATTGTCCTCCATCTAAGCATCTGTTTTTTTCTTATTTCATACATGCAGAGTCACCTTACACATCCAAAACACAGTAAATAATCTCTCTACCTGTTACATTTTTGATATTTTATTCATATACGATTATTCTATACTAATTTTTTCTTAGTTTTAAAAATATTTCTACTCACTGTGTAAAATGTATAACGTATGTTTTTCTTAATCGAGCTTTTTCAGCGTAGGCATGGAGAACACAATAACCTAGTATATATTTGCCTTCCCTGTACTCATAAATCTTTTCACACATACCTATATTCACTTTCTGTCCGGACTGTCACCACAAGCGTGCTTATGTCTCATTTGTTAGAGCGAAGTGACTAATATGACGTAAACAACATAAGGGTATAAATTAAGTCACGGAGAATATTCCATACATAATACATTTATACATTATAAATATAACTTTATCAGTTTGTTCGGGATTCAGTAAGTTTTTATGAAATTGGAAATACATCCCTACATGCTACAACCTAAGTGGACTCGGACAGTGCGGTTTCCGAGGAGTTCCCTCTCGTGTACACTTCTCACGATACTACACCCCCGGCCTTTAATCCACCGTTTTCAAATGAAATTTGATGAAAACCTATCTTGGTGACTAATGTGACATTTTGAACGTTCTAAGTTCCACAAAAGTAGAGGAAAGTGACCAAATATGGAATACCATTTTGATTTTAGACATAATTTCCACAAATCTTATAAAAAAAAACTTTTTGTGGTAATTATTAACAGTCATATATTTGTACTTAATTTGTGAAAATATTAGATTACATTACTTTGAGGTAAAAAAAATCTAGAAAACTAAATAGTAATAAAGGTACCTATATATGGAATAGGTATCCAAATATATAGAATACCATAAACAATATCAAAAATTAACCTTAACTTTAAAGAGACTCTTAAAAAAGTTTGGTATAATAAAGAAAGCAACACAAATTATGTACAAAAATCGCCAATCCAGGTATAAATCTCAGGGCTAACGCAATTATTATGTACCCATATGTGGGATATGAGGCACTTAATCCATGTTTCCCTTGAGTATCATTCAAAAACAGTATATTACAAAAAATATACTCCGAATCTGCAGAATCTGGAATGGAGCTGTATATATATATTATTACCTCCTCTTCATCTAAATCTGACGTAGGCTTAATATTCTCTTTTAATTTCTTCTCATTCTATTTTTTTATTTTTGTTTATTTGCCAATAAATTTTCTTTATTTTATAAACAATGAAAAATATATAATTAACAAAATTGTCAAGTCAGGTGATACTTCAGAGAACCATTTATGGAATAATCCATAATTGGATACTGTAATCTGTCCATATTTGGATCTTCCTATGATTTCCAACTGACATATACATTTTTATATAGTTATGTAAGTAATACAATATAATACCGCTAAAACATACAAAAGAACATCTAAACAGTACATAAAAGCTATAAAAACCATACTGTGTGGACTTTCTGTACGTGAAATATTTATTTTTTATATATATTAGAAACTTATGTGGTGGCGATAAAACAAAACACTGCCACAACGACGAAAAGGCTTCCTCGATTGACATGCTATAATTTATATGCGTAAATGTGAGTAGAAAGATATAGAAAATCACTGTCTATTTAAATGTGTGAATTCGCAGTTTAGAGAAATGGACGTATTGCATATTAGGATACTATTCCATATTTGGTCACTTTCCTCTACTATAAAGTCTTGACTATTCCTCAACTTTAAAGTGTATGAGAACCGTAATTAATAATTTCCATACATGAAAGTAACCGGTAACAGAAGCCTTTATATGTTCTGTATTAGTTAAGCAAAATAGATTTGATATCTTTACACATGGCTTTATCTGCGAATCATTAATTAGTATTTTTAAACTTGGTTCTGTTTTGCAATTACTAATGCTATTTTGGCAGTGCTTGTCACTCTATGCGACTCAAAAATACTTTTGTAGTGACTAGTTTAAAAGTCAAGCTAAGAATAATGTTAACTCTTTTGATGTGACTTAATTTAATATTGTTTTTTATATGGGATACCTACTAGCTGCCCCGCGCAACTTTATTTTTATCACAATTACTTAACATTTATCATATATGTCGCTCAATTTACTTAACATCTTTTTAAATTATAGCCTATATGTTATTCTGATTATAAGCTATATTACTGCAAAGTTTCATCAAATTCCAGTAACAAACATCCATCCATCCATATTCAGAAACTTTCGCATTTGTAATATTAGTAAGCGTAAGTATATATGGTAAGCGGTAACCATCGCCTATATACATAATCAGGACTACGGAAGTCGTTATAATGTGACATCCGGGATACCATACTCATGCACTGTCATTTTAGAGTATTAAGATGGTATGCCTCTTATTTTGTAATTTCACTGCCTAATCACACCCCACTACCAAAACATAGCTTACAAAGTAAACTGCTTGATGGCTGAAATACTATCTATTTCAGCCATCAAGCAGTTTACTTTGACTGATATAACCACACAAACAATAATCAGCTTAAGTATCATGCTAATTATATTTTTATTGTTTAAATATTAGTTAAGCACGCTGAAATAGCTGTACTGATTTGAATGACATTGGCAACGTCTAGAATCAACGGTCCGGTCCGACCGACGGTGTCCAGAATCAAGACAAAAAAAATCTTTCAATCTCCTTTTTATCAATTCACGAGGGAATTGATACTATTTCAAGAAGCACTAGTTAGATATAAGGAATAAAATATATGTTCCATTCATATAATTTAATCTTCAAAGGAGATTCCAAATACGGAATAAAATAACAACATTGTTTTTTTTGTGGCGTGTGTCTAATCCACTATTCTACATGAAAGACTAAAGTCTGCACACCCTGAATATGTTTTTGGACAGCGCTCATGCGTACATTTAGCCTTTGTTGGTCTTGCTCCCATTTCCATATTTATGTTTATGCACATATTTTGTTTTAAGACTTCAACATTGATAATATTCTTAATTGTAATGTATTTTCACAACAACCTGATATAAGTTTTTTTGTACAACGAACGATTCATTATACAAAATTAATATTTAAAAACATAAAATTATTAATGTCGTTACTACTACGATTGAAGTTGATATTGGAAGACAACACAATGACATAAAACTTCTTTGTTAAAAAAATATATTACATGATATTATTATTTTTTTTATAAAATTATTCAGTTAATAAAAATCTTATTTATTTACAATTTACTTTCTCTTGCAACAATATATTCAATGATTTGTTCCCCCATTCGCCTCTTGCGACATCCAGTGGACTCTATTTCATAATCACATATTGGAAGATGTAATCAGTATTCAGGTGTTATCGTTCTAGTTTTTTTTATGTAATGAGAATGGCATACAGGTTTAGGGTCATAAGTTAATAAGTTTAGGGCACTATATATCACAACCTCCTGCAAAAAGGTTTTTTAAAAAGTTGCTAGAGTAGCTTTATAAAAATAATCACAACAAAATGAACAAATTCTTTAATTATTTCATTAATAACTTTAATAGTAGAAAATGATAAAATATAAGTTATATAAATTTGGGTATAATAAGTACAATACCAATAGCGTAAATCGCAACCAATTAAATAAATAAATTTAATTAATTGAATAAATAAATATAATTCTATAAGAATAGAATTAGTACATACTACACATGTCGGTTTAAATTTGAAACATCCAAAATTATAGCAAAATATAAAAAATACAAATATAAACATAGGTATATTATAACAATTACATTATTGAAATCGTCATCTAGCTGTTTATGGACTGTGGTACAGTAGCTACTTCTACTTCAAAATAATGTAATTATGGCTAATAAATTATTAAAAGACATTATGTTTCTCTTTTTTGGCAAATAGTACGAAATTACTACGCAATTATGTACACAATAACACGTGTTACTACGAACTAATGTATATACGTACGGCCAAAGAATAATTATTTTTACGTATACATATTTGATGTTTATATACAATAATTAAAACCAAATACAGTCGTAGCTAATTAAGATTATAATAAAACTTACCTTTACGAAAAATAAAAATCAGGACGGCCACACAAAAAACTCCACACGCGTACACTTCAGAAAACTTTAGCACTTTAGCAGAATGCCCGAGACACTGTTACCATCCTCGCGCGACACATAAGTACTATCCACATACAGCTTAATATTTAAAAATTTATAAGAAATATAAAATTTCGGAGTGAATGGTCGGGTATTTAAATTCCAAGTCCGCGACAGAGACCTGAACGCGACCGGAGTTATGAACGAGCTCACTTCAACTGACTGTGGATTGGTTGAGGGCGGGCGGTTCAGTTGAAAGTAGGGCTGGCAGTATGACGCTTTGTATTGATGATTACTTTAGTCAATTACAGCTGAACATGTCAGATACGTAGACAATGTGGTAAGAATTGTGTCAATAGTCTCAAATTGTTAGCGATGACGTATTTTACTAGTTGTTTATTGTCATAACAAAGAAATTTGTTTAATCTAAAATATAACTTACTTAGGATTCAAGTTTTTATAACATCATATTTAACGTTTGAAAAGTTTCATATAGAAACATTTTGTTTCGTTTATTTAATTTGAATGGCAAACAAGCTGATAGTCCTCCTAGTGATAAGTGGCACCACATGTACATCACGTAACGCCCGTAAAACTGTTTATTCGTTGCCATTCAGGAAGACTAAAATGTTATACTTCCATGACAAATTCGTAATTGCACTGCAATAAATCTCCCTACACAGAACACAGCTAACAAATAAGCTGTTTTGAGACACATATAGACCCCCGCATACAGCTTTATATCAAGTCTACTTCTGCAAATTTCCGTGGCTATTTCTACCTATTTAGTACCTATGCACTACATATCGATAGAACTAAAAGAATTCTCATCAAAGTATCTTCAAGTGTTTCTGGTTGTATTTCTATGAAATCGCTTAAGATAAATAGAAAATTAATTCAAATTTCACATGTATACAAAATGTCAATAAAATCTATAAGTAATATGCTGTTATGAATAAAAATGAAAATAAAAAATACCTAATAGACTATCGGCCGTACGCTTATATAGTCGTAGCTTTGTGATATTTCCATTATTTCACATTTAAATTAGTAGAACTACAATTATATTATATTAAATAAACTGTACTTGTAGAAAACAGACTTGTAGAAAAGTTTTTATTTCATTAAGATATTAATTTACAAGGGCCTCGAATGAATATTATCCAGGCAGAACATATTTTTAATATTAAGTAAATTGGAAATCCTACCCTACTGTCGTAGGTACTTAATGGTCCAAACCTTTCTGGCTTCAAAAAGCTATATTTTTCCCAATTTATATATTGTTTACATTCTATGTCCTGCAAAACTCCTGTTTTCAGGTATGTGGTTTGCTTTTAGTTAATAAAGTATTATAACGCATGCAACATACCAAACACTTTAATACTGTGTAATTAAAATGTATGGATTTAATGCAATAAAAAATTAGCAAATTATAAAGTTTATACAGTAAATCTCACAGTTTATCACAAAGTTTTTCTATATCTCCACTTAAAATTGTCGTCTAGTTGCCTATCGAGATAAATTATACATTGTCATAACTATGAATGACTATACTGCAGTGTGTGTCCAATACTTGTATAAAACTCCAAGACTACGATTCTCTCAAATACTAATCTATGTCAATATATGTACATCTAAGTAAAAAATTGGGTCGTATGATATATAAATGGTTCCAAAAATACTGGCACCGTTACCTTGCTGCCATCACTTAAATAAATAATATATTTCAAACCTTGAACTTACTTTAACAAGCTTTTATTAGGTCAACCAGTAATAAATATGTAGATAATAGAATTTAAAGTACCGAATTTCATTCGCGTCTAATCGCACAATATCATGAAACTTTCTTGAAATCTCTCAACGTAATCATATGTGTAGGAAACTCGATTACACAACTTTAAAGCGGAAACGTAATAATTTCATCAGAAGATTCCATGAGAAAAGTTTTCTATTCGATTATACTTCAGTAATAAAAAGAAATTAATCAAATCTTTGCTTATTATTATTAAATTTTGCTTTTACTTATTTAATAATTTAATGATTCTCATTTCTTATTGTTAATTTTATACAAACTGTAGTATTTTATTATTTTATATACGGTTTGTTATAACAAATTGTATATTTCATACATATTTATAATAATCTATTTATTTATAAATTAATAGACTTTCAGGATATATGAAAATATAATATAATGATTACATAAAATTGCATGTAATTTTATAGATTTGGAGAATTTTGCCCAATACATACAGTTACATAAGTATGTACCTTCATAGCAAATAACCTTACAAAATATGTGTAGGTATGGTTTAATTCATTAAGTTTGTTGCTATAAATGCGTTATGAAAATTTAAATGGGAGAACTACATACATTTAGAAATATACGACTTGGAATACCCGCCTACATACGTTTATCGATGTTAGGTTAAAAAATAGAATTGTGAGTCAACCACATGTTGGTAACATTTGGAATAAGTCGATACAAATTACATTACCTTGGCTAAAGTATTGGAAATAATGACCGTAATTAGTCCCTTCAGAGAAAATTCCGATCGAGTCACTATTGAAATTGGGTCGAACGCTAGTTACGCGTATAGTGCAACTCAGTGGCGGTTTTTTCTTGACACACATACCTAAATTAGCTTTTTTTTTTTAATAATTGAATTTTTGTAGATTTTTTAGATGTATAAAGCTTATCCCATTATCCTTATGTTCATATATTCAAATTTATTAATATTTGAATATCATTAATATTTTAAATTAATATTATCCATCATAAACTAGAAAAGGTAAAATAGACAGACCATATATATTTTCCATAAATATAAGAGTTTGTCTGACTGATACTATTTAATTTAACGACTAAACAGCTAGACGGGTCTTAAAATTTGAGGAGAACATATGTACATCGTATTACGAAGTGAAGTGGACAAAAACTATAACAAATACATGTAGTATTTTTGGATAACAATGCAAAACATACCATTACGCATAATTGTTGTGAGAAACTGATGTCTGGAATAGGTATAATCTGTAATACAGATCACGTCAGGTGCATGTGATATATGTTCAATTAAATACGATGCATATATTACATATAATATACTGAAATCATAGAATGTTTAGAGGTAAAGAAAATTACGTAACGTAACGAAAACTCTCTAATGCAGACTAAATTATAATTAACAGCCAGTACCTACAATATAAATAATATCAAATATATTTCTACATATATGTATATGAAGATTTTTATACAAAAAATATAATTTTATGTACAAGATTTTAACTTTTTTTTATACTAACATATTTTATATCTTTGACACAACGTAGCGAACTTTTGGCTAGCATTATTTTATTTTATATTATTATGAAAAGGTTCAGACACTAAAAAGAAATCATCTCACATATATTCAGAAATAGACGACTACAAATCACTATATTACTTTAAAAAATGTACATCTATTTATGGAATAATAGCTATTAGCGACCGAGTACAAATAAGATTAATATATAGTAAACAGTTTGACCCGTCATTGTTTCGCACGCCTGTATAATTTATGTAACTGGGATCGTCCAATTAAATATATTTAAATCTTAAAATAAATCTCTACATTATCCTCAAAACTTATAGATAGTTTAGAAGTAAATGGTGAAACAGGTAGAAGAAAAGAACTTTGTATTATCATACTATTAAACATTATTATCACAATAAAAAAAGTATTTATATTAGTTAATTAATACAAAGGTGGATTTAATTAACTTAATTTTGGTATACATTAATTTTGAAACAAATTTCTATTATAATACCATATTGTGCATGTATTGAAACCATTAACTATGAGTTGGTGCCGGTCTGACCTTTCGGATTACAGTAGTGAGTTCTCATGGAAAAACAAGTAAACATCATGCCGTAGCAAGCCAGCATAACTATTCATTTGTATATATTATATATAATACATTATACTTGCTTATAAAATCGGTTTTTCATGAATGATTTAGGCTGGTAATATACAGTTGTTAAGTTTCCCGAATGCAACTAACATGTCAGAAATAATCGTATCGTAAATCACTACGGTTACTTCAACTTTAACAAAAACTTAGATTTCTTATTTATTTTATTTTTTAACTAGCTACCCATCCCGGCTGTGCACGGGTGTACATGTATTATATGTAAAAACATTCCTTTAGAATCACTCTACCTATTAAAATAAACCACACCAAAATCCGTTGCATAGTTTTAAAGATTTAAGCATAAATAGGGACAGACAGCAAAAGCGACTTTATTTTATACTAGGTAATAATAATGATGTTGATATTTCGAACCCATCGTTCATGGAAACACTATAAAGAAAACAAACTGATATAGATATGGTAGTAAGGGGTAGGATACCGTAAAGTCAACTGTTGCGTTTACCACGACATTGCATATAATGAATAGAATAGTTCTACCATTTTGGATTACAGTTATGAAGTAATGAGACCCTCAATAAATATCTACCGCACTTCCAATGAATGTGTAACGTTGTGCAGAAAAATAAAACCGTAAAAAACGGTTTTACGACACTATCACTTTGTACAAAATTAATCAAGCGCTGACATGTGTCCACTGCTTCACAATTTATTAACACACACAAAGTAGAGCGTTTTGCAGTGTCCAGTATTAAATTTATTTTTCATTCCAAATGGAAGAATGGTATAAAAAGCCTCTTTTGTAATGCAATTTAAACTTGTTTATTGTTATGTTTTAAGCTTTACATATTATGATATTTTTTATGTTTGTATAAATATATATATATATATACAGTAATATTATAAATGTGAATGTCTGTCCATCAATCTGTCTGTATATCTATTTAAAGAGATAGCAAATTCTAATACAAAGACGGCCGTAGCTTATCTTTCTTCTAAAGACGATCACGACTTGATTGCCTAGTGAATTTGCACATCGCCTTACTGTCTATGTTCACTGGTTCCATCAAATCAAACAGTTATATTTATGAGTAGGTAGATTTTACAAATATACTCCCTTAATCATCGCTAATGTAAAATTAAAATAATTAACTGGTTATTGAACCTCTCTTATGATGAAACCGAAAATCTAATAGTTTAATTCCTGTATTTATAGTATATATCAAAAAATAAATAAATAAAGGAATACATAAAACGCATACATAGGTGCAATAAACGCGCTTATATACACACACCCAGACACACACACACACACACACACACACACTCACTCACTCACACACACACTTGTTCTAATGCTCATAAATTATAAATATCATTTGTTTTATTTTGTATACTTTGTCTTTCTCTAAATGTTCTTAAGGAGTAATATTCATTTATTTCCATTTGTTTTTATTTAAATTGTATACAATGCTCTGGATATGGGCGCAAATAACTGCAACACAGTTTTTGTAAACAAATGTAGTTGTTTACGTTTAATATATTATTGTTATAACTTTGTTTTTGGTTTAAATATAACTTTAAAAAAATCTCTGTATGTATTATGTTATATAACAAAAATTGTATTTAACTAAAGTGCTACTTATTACCCAGGAATTAATTCGCCCTTTTAATACTACTCTAAGTCCGTCCTTAGTATGTAATATATCTTTGTAAAATTTCGTAAAGATCCGTCTAGACCTATAGTCGTGAAAAGCTAACAATCAGACGGACAGACACAGTTTTATAATATCACTATGTATCTTCATTACATAGTAATGATTATTAATGATTGCTTAGCGATAAGACCGCCTTTTGTATCAATGTAAATTTTCTATTTTAATTGTTTTTATTTTTGTTCTATAATTGGTGCAATAAATATATATAAAATGAGTATAAATAAAAAAAAAGTATAAAACAAAGTCGCTGTCGCTGTCTTTCCGTCTCTATGTATGCTTAAATCTTTAAAGCTACGCAACGGATTTTGCGGTTTATTGTAATAAATAGAGTGATTCAAGAGGAAGGTTTATATGTATAATACATATACACCTGGACGAAGCCAGGGCGAGTAATTAGTAATATAATGAAATAAAATTATGTAAGTGGGTGTTACGAGAGTTGTACGTAAATATTCTGAAATCTTCGTTTCATTTAATATAACGCCGGACTACAACTCCTTCAGGCCAAAAGCTACATTTTAAGAATACACCATCTGTGTAAATGTACTTTTGATTACAAATTATCCTTTGACTAAGAAATAAGTTTATAAGTAACTTTCGATACTTTCATTTGTAATAGTATTTTTTCGAACTAATGTCTACTTTTTGATTGATGATAATGGGATGATTAAGCCTTCTCCACTAATAGTAACTAGATATTAGCATATTATATTAAATTTACATTATTTCCAAGGTATACGATATATACTCTTTGCGAGTACCCCTGGGGTACGAGCATCTCATGGGGATGATAGTTTGTAATGGAATTAGGGTTGACGTAATTCCATTACAAACTATGATCCCCATGACCGAAGACTGTATATACAGGCTAAAAGTGTGTGTGTGCTAAAAGTGTGCTAAAAGTGCTCCTTGAATTCAGCTTCAAGAGATAAAATTGTTAAAAATAAACCCTATTAAAAAACAGAACATCAAAATATAAAATATAGAAAAACTACCAAAACGGTTAACTTTAGCCACCACATTGATCAAATAACACTAATGAAAGCGCCAATAAACATCGACTGGTAAGTATATACGGAAAACAAATACAAAATCTTGAAGTGAAAACAATTGACAAGTGATATGGCAGAAATAATATTTTTTATTAATTACAGAATAAAATTCCATATTTAAATAGATGGATGATATTCGAAATTTAAACATTAATTATTTTATAATCAGCCAGGATTAATAAGCAATTTATTTTAACCAGAATTTTTGTATACATAGTCTACGAGGTTTTACGATCTCATAATAAGTCGAACACATGTATATCGTAAATTTGCATATTATAGTTTGTATGTATGTATACTATTATATTTACTTTTGCTACTCAACATTATCTTATTAGATAAACTAGATACGTATGTTTGTTTGTAATTGCAGCTCAGTTTACAGCTGGCAGCGCATTTGTTTATTCGAATGCAAATGCATGCAGATTTAGGAGCTGAGCACACGATAGGTAATTGATTGATCACTCTAGAATTGATGGTTCTGTAATCATGCATTATTCATTGCCTACGTTCAGATATTTCGTTGTCAGATATAATATACATATATTACTCCCACACATACACACACACACATACATTGTTTATATTGTATTTTTTACATTGCACTGAATAAAATATTTTTCTTTCTTTCTTTCTTTACATACATACCGTCACGATTATTATCCCAGGTTCAGTAAACGCAACTAGACATGGCGACATTTCGCGTGCGAGCCTCATGCCGTCTCACGTATTAATTTTTTAATTAATGTTGGTGTTTCCTTTACCAGAGAGTTAGTCAGTTAGAACTATAAATTGGCTTACTTCTTTTTTGATTGCTAAATTTGAACTCATGACTTCTTGGGCGGATTTCAGGGTAATAAACTATTAAATCACAGGGCTAACTGATATTCATATATAAAAAACTTATTAGAAATAGCTACTTCAAGATAATATAAACAGACTTTACAAAGTCATTTATCTTTCACATTATTTTCACCAGTAATTTGGGGTGTATAATTTATTCCAGTTTAAAATGTGATATATTTCTTTCAAATTATATAGCAGACGTATAGGCATAGTCATCAGATATAGTGTATCTTCTATATGTCACATGACCATGCATGCTATATATATAAAGATGTGAGTGAAATGTATGGAATAATAAAAAACACTTTTATATTAATTTATTATTTACAGCATATATAAACTTAATTGTAATATATTATAGACGGAAATAAACATTTAATTATAATTACAGTGAATTAAGTCTTCGCGTTACTTTCTTGAGTTTCATCAAATTTAATCTATTCTTGACTGCAACAAAAAATACAATAGAAATGTTAGTTATATGATAATACAATATATAATCATGCAAACTATTAAATAAATTTATTGTAATTATAACATCACGCTGTGCGAAACTATTATGAAAATAGATTTTGAAGTTGCCGAAAAATATTAATTGGAGGATCAGTTTAGAAGATTTCCCATAACAAATTCGATCGAAAAAAATGTATATAATAGCTGGATACATTATATCAATTTCATGATCACTTTACTACAGATGCCAGTATATATTAGTGCAAGAGATAAGTTATATATTTCATTTATATCTATTTATAGCTTTATGTATACTATATATATATATATATATATATACATATTTGTGTATGCATGCATGTGTTTACTTACTTACTTTATATACTTTTTATAAAATATTACCAATAAAACCTTGGTATTTTGTGCATTTAAGTTATGTAATAATAAATAAAATGACTGACACATGCCGACTACATCCTTAATTTGTAAATTATCTTAGACGACTTAATAAGTATATATTCCTGCAGTACTTACCTGTGGTCCTCTATGAATAGCAAGTATCATATCGAATTCCTCTGCACCGATTACAATATTTGCGCGACCGTCGTTACCTACTTGGATAGTCTTTCCAGTACAATTGTTACCGTTTCTGATACCAGAAATAATGTCACAATATGTTCCAGCTGGCAAGCAAGTCTGGAAGAAAACAGAAATTTGTATGAATTTAAATTTGATTAGGTAAAATAATATTAAATCTCTTACCGCTTGAAAACGCCATAAACAAACGAATGAAGATTTAGGTTTGATGGACAAGTTCTCGCATTGAATCAGCACGGTTAAAAAATAAAGGTTGAAGAAATATATAATGTATTATATTCAAGACGGCGTTGGTATTCCAGCAGCATGGTACAGTTCCGATAATCGAGGGTTCGATTTACATACCAATATTATGATGTGATTATTTGTATGTCTGGGTGATTACTATGTACACATGTATGTTATGTATAGATTTATAAAAAATGTAAAATTATTTCTACATGTACCTCTTCACCCATGGTATAATCTCTGTATGTTTAGAACTAGATGGCACTACATGCAATGTTTTAGGTTATTATTATTGTATAAGTTACATGAGTTAATTCTATCTACGATAGGCAGAACAGTTTACATGGTATATAGAAAAGACTCAACAGTAAATATAGACTAAGATGATGCGTATCGTCACATATCAACAAATTTCATACCTGTAAGTTCTGGTTAAGGCTCCAATATTCATTATTGAAGGCAATGAAACCTTGGCCGCCGCGACAGAAAGCTATCTGGTTACCACCGTTGTCCCACCAGTCATTAATCCCAGTTCCTAAAGCTACATTTCTGAATTGTACCATCTGGAATATCTGACGCCAGCGGTGTTCGCAAATCCATCCATTGCCACATGTGTTATCCTATTTAAGAAGAAAAGTTATTTGAATATACTAATGTATAAAGTTATTATATACAAAGATCACATAATTATAATATAAGCGCTTATGCCATGCGGTTGAGAACCAAGTGCTATATGTATAAAATAGCTGTTTGCTTATTTATATTGAAAATTTATATAATACTAGTTATTACCCGCATCTTCGTTTGCTGTCTTTAGAAAAAATGTGCTATGTCTATGTTTGCCGTACTGATTTTCATGTCAAAATCTATCATCAAGATCCGATCAATCGTAAAAACACACAGACAGATATTTCGAATTCATAATATTAGTATGGAGCAATTATGATGTATGAAATAAGAAAAAAATATATTTATTTAAATCAATGCAATACTTACAGAGTTAATAGAAGGAGAGATGATATTACCACTGCTATCCATAGGCGGACCGGCCTCAGTATCAATAAAGTTGAAGCTACTCATCAACTGAGGTTCGCCGTATGGATGTGCCAACATGAAAGCAATAGCCCCCTTATACGGCTTAGCCTGTTTATATGTAAGAATGTTTCCACCAGCACCATGCCCTCTCTGGTTGTCATGGTTATCAATGAAAGTTAAAGAAACATCAGACGCTAGGAGGCCCCACTGAGGACCCCAGTTGACCAGCCATCTAAGCTGATTGCCACCTTGAAAGGCTCTGCTAAGTTCCAATCCGAATTTGAATTCAGTAACCGCAGCTAGAGGAGTATATTCATCACGACTGACAGCTTCTTCGCCAAGATCAATTACTTCCTGATAGATGTAAGGTCGTGCGCCTGAAGGAAAGCCGTGGTCTGTGTTTAAGTTATGTAGCCTATCGTAAATGACGCGAAGATCTGTAGGCCACATGTGTTTTGCAGCATCAATTCTGAAATAAATCGCATTTTTTTCAAACAAATATCTCATAACAATCTGTTGGTAAATGGTAAAAGTTGCGTACATGAACAGCAGCATGGACATCTCATCATAATGTAACACCCATGGTACCATTCACGCGTTGCCATTACAGAGGATTAAGATGTCATGACTCTACATACCCTATAATTTAACTGCCTCATCTCACTCTTCAACAGAAACACATCTTACAAAACAAACTGCTTGTTGTCAGAAATAGATTCTTGTGACTTTGTACATAGTTCACTTCAAGTTCTCAAAATTACAGGAAAATATTGTTAATGGGATAAACTGAAATAAATATCCTCAGACATTTTCACGAAGAATCATTACGGTTAAGACTAAAAATTAACATTTTCAGTGTTAGCTAATAATTAATTGCATGTTACTACTTGTACTAATAGTAATTTACTACTAATTTACCTAAAACCAGCCACACCCAAGTCAATAAGTTTGTTCATAAAACCAACGATCATTGATCGTACATATTCTGAGCCTTGATTTAAATCCTTCAAGCCGGACAATTCACAATTGCGCACCTGAAAGTTAAGCAGTACGTGATTATAAATCGCATACCATAATTTTAGAATAAATATTCACAGGACACTCTCAAATATACAATTTAAATTCAGATTATATAAAATTTAGTGATTAATCTAATTATACCATTGATAAACATATTGACTAAAATTATTTATCAGAGCTTAATAATATTCTCGATATAAATCACGTACATGGGTTATTGTGATAAGTAATTATATTACAAACTAGCTTTAAGTCACAGTTTTACCTGCGAATTTTGGAATCAATTTCATCAATTGTTAAAAATAATTACAAAGTTCATATACAAAAATAAATTATTTAGTTGAACAAGCTCAAGTGTAGGTAAGCTGATGAATTTATTTGTAATTTATAGTCATCGATCACTAAATAATTATGTTTACGAACACCATGTCGTCATTTTATGTTTAGATAAATAAGTCAGTACGTAAACGTAAATACCTACGTCAGTACAGTATGTAATACTGTGGCTAAGACACATATATATTATAATAACATTTATTTTAAAAATGCTTTTAATTACTCCATTGATGATTTTTTTAATGAATGACAGATACTGTAGCTCACTTTAGAAATTATTATTATTATCACAGAGGTTATTATTATTCTTAATTTATGAATATTTGGACATTGTTATGGTTTTAGATTTAATTATAATTTTGTATTTTAAATTCGACACAATAATTATTGTAAAGCATTAATAAATAAATAAAACAATACATAGATAATGTGCTTGCAGTGCAATGCAATTGAATACAGTAACGGTGTATGGGACCATGTATGCTAGTTTTCACTAAAACATAAAAAAATAAAAGTCTGAAATAGGTATAGGTTTAGACAAGTACCGCACGACGTCGCACCGTACCGTACTGAATCGCATCTCACCGCATAACGAGCATTATGCTAAAAATTTTGATAATAATTACCCTGTCAGCGCAGCAGCCATAGTCAAAGCCAGTAATTACACAGTGGGGCCAGTTGAAATCGTTACGACCATATGGTACAGATGGATAGTGCCACTCGCCAAAGTTCGCGTTACTACCTCCAGTGCCAACGTTTTCATTCCAAGTACCAGTCATGTGATTAATAATAGCATCTACGTAGATCCTGTCATAGATAGATATTGTTTTCTTTTTAAAGGATTTAAATTGTATGGATTAGTGTAGTAGTAAGTAATGTTGTATGGAGCGCTTGTAAACTGATATCACCGCAACTAAATGATATTATTTTTACTCTTCTTCACATTATAATCAATAATAATTATTCTTATAAACATTACAATTGTAGCAAATAGCAACTCTGCGCCTTTCTACTATTATAAAATATTAATATTGGATTTTTTTTGGAAATGTCGCATCGTTATCAATTTTAAAACTATTTTTTAATTTTGTATTACAGTACGTGCTCATACTCTAAAATATTAATATTGGATTTTTTTTGGAAATGTCGCATCGTTATCAATTTTAAAACTATTTTTTAATTTTGTATTACAGTACGTGCTCATACTCACCTAACTCCAGCATTATTGCACCGTCTAACCATGCTGGCGAACTGTTGTTCATTACCAGAACGAGTTATAAGCCGGTATGATATTGGCTGGTAGCGTTCCCACCACGGTCGGTTGTGAGACCATATAACCAGGTTCTCGTTAGGGGGTGATATCTATCAAAATAAATTTATACTATTACCAAGTAATAATAATCAAAAATACATTCGTTTAAAAACTAATTTTTCTCAGAATCATATGTAGTTTAACGAATATAACACATTCGTGTGCTGCGGAAAATTAATTCATTTAGGCAATTAATTTCTCATTTCTAAGCCTTGTGCGATATTTAATATACTTACTAATTTAATAATCAGCAACATATAATTCATTCATTCGATTACAAATATACTATAACTAACTAAAACACTACAACTATTAATACTAGGTATTCTCCGTAGTTTCATTCTCTTAAAAAAATCTTGATAAAAATATCCTGTGTAATATGATCTATCTGCGTATCAAGTTATATTCGCATCCGTCTAGTATTTTGTGTGTAATAGTAAAAGTACTAAAATCAGGATATTATATGTAATAAAATAATTAATATAAATTTATGCCTTAAGTTACAAAATATTCCAATATTGAAATGTATTAAGTGATAGACTATAACTATTCAATATATACCTGAATACCACCAAAGCCATTGGGACCAAGGAACCTTTCACATTCAGCGGCTATATCATCCCATTTCCATTCAAAGAGATGCACCATAGTAGTTCGGCCCGATGCGTAATGTGGATTGAAGTAAGCTAAGCCGAGACTCAGCGATGTTAAAAGAATTACTAGCCGCAACATTCTGTAGATAAAAATGACTTTCTACTACTTTCAATATTTTAGGTTTCTCCTGCAGCTCTTCCTATTAATTTATATAATTTATATGATATATGATTGAATGTCAGCCTCTGCATAAGTGGGTTTGGAGTGCCATCTGCACTAATTATTCGGTGATGACCGCTCCATAAGTCCTTCCACGGCTTTGAACCACCTACACTATCTGTCATTCGGTGAAGCTGTAAAAGCTAGCTGCACCTTTAGAATAGTTTGAAAAATAGAAAAAGAGGTACCTCAGTGTCATCTATTCCTGCTTCCTGGTTTTTTTAGTTATCTCTATTCTGATTTTTTACGTAGTTTAAATAAAGTTACCACGGCTGTCTGTTCGCTTATATCTTTAAATTACACAAGGGATTTTAATACAGATTTCAGCAATAGACAGAGTGATTCAAGAGGAAGGTTTATATATATAATACATGCGTATACAACAATTCAAGAAATTCAAAGATTTGCAACGATCGCTAGTTAAAAGTAAGATATAATAATAGTGAAATTACTGGATATATATGTATCCAGTGTTTTCCCTATCTATCACTATCTTTCTAGATACACCTCAGTACTTTACTCGAACTTTATACAAATAATCGCCTTAGTAAAAGGTATAACAAAAGGTATCTTGCACAAAGTGCACTATAATTCAATACTTTATTTTGTTGTTCCTAAAGTGTCATTTATAATTTATTAAACAATTCTGAATATTTTACAGTCATTCATAACACAACATTATAAAATTATTAACATTCTTCTCTAAGTAATAGGTAAAATTAAATTATAAAAATATAATTTCTAAAATGAAAGTATCTTAAGTTACTTCTTATAACGTTAGCTATCAGCGAATAAAATTCCCGTAACAATCGATTGCGAAGTTTCAGAGATTAGGAAGACCAATAGACAGATGGATATAAAATATTTGCTTTTAATGAAAAGCTGTTAATTATAAATTACAAACAGAGACTCAATTGTTATATAATCTCAAAAATAATATAGTTAATATAAAAATCTAAATTACTCTAGTTTCATCCCATTTCAATTCATTACTAAGTTTTTTTTTTACTTATAGATGATAATTAACATGTCTTGTGTTGAGTCAAGTATTAAGTAGTAATGTAGTAAAGTATTAATGTAAAACGTTAATACATAGCTACATATAAAGACTTAATAGAATATTTCCTAACCGTAACATAAGATGAAATTAACGTTGTTGTTACGATAACATAAAAAAAGAGAAGGAAATATAGTATGTAACTATTTTCTCAGTGCACGTAATTTTGTAAGTAAAATAGTATGTGTAAATAATTTTATCTCAGATTGTTTATGAATCTAGCCAACCGACAAAATTATAAAATATATAACGAAATTCTATATACCATGGTATGAACTCATAAAAATATTTTTTATTCTACATTATCCAATTGTAGGGAATATTTAAATTTTTTTTTAGATCCAATGTAGTAGATAGAATGTACTTAATTTAATCTTTTTCTCAAAAAGGTCTAAATTACTTTTTTAATTTATGCAGTCTCCCATATTTTATTAAAAAATTAATATTACATTTAAACATAAACTCACCTTACTCATTTATTATAAACAATTTCTCAGAACTGGCTACTTATTATTCTTGGAACTACTGAAATAATGAATAATAAAATCCAGCAACAGCTTGACATAATACTTATATATCTACTAGTGATAAAATCTCAGTAAATATATTTTGTTATGCGGTATTTATCACCTCATTACGTGTAATAACAAATCAGATATTATGCGCTGATTGTTTTAAAAACAATCTCTTGGGTTACTAGCCTAGACCCGTTCCTCAATACTTATTCACCACCTCACGACAGGCCATTCTTTGTTTCCTTTTCAATTGAATTCCTCTCAATAGGTAAATTAAAAGTACTTCAATTTATATAGCGCATTTATTTTGAGTACTAAGAAAATATTATAACAGAGGTAAAAAATAAATATTGTGATCAACATGATCAAAGTTTTTCAATTTCAAGTAGATAATTACATGCCACACTTACTTGGACATGAATCTTGTAAATACATACATAGTTACATAGAAAAGATCCAGACTAAAGGGCTTGGTTTCTAGCACACTTGTGTGGTGGTCATCCAGATGGGTACATTACCAGCAATGCCCTATATTCTCAATTACTGAAGAACCCCTCTACTTCTGATTAGTTTCTAATTTCTTTTCAGGATTATGATCTGATTAACTATGGTATTTTTATCTATTATCCCCGTCGTAGTGAGTAGACATTTCGCTAAGTTTAATCAACTCCAATGTAGCAGGATGAGTCTAGCGTTGTGTATTGGTAAGTCTTTGTTATTTTTCATCACGCGAAAAAAATTTTTTCTTTAAAGGCGCAATTTTTTATGCCGTTTAACATTGCAGGTAAACAAATTATGGAGTATTATACAAATGTAAACTACTTCAATTATTTAAAAAATATCTTTTCACTATAGAAATAAAAAATAAATATTTCTATATAAATATTATATAAATATTTATATAGAAAAATTATATAAAATCAATATTTATATAAAAAAAATATATAGAATATATTTATATATATCTCTGTTCAATTGTAAGATTATTAATTTAGGTTGAACCATAACTCATATCTCTTTCTTGTAAAGTCGGTTTACAGATTTTGGAATAATTAAATAATAATAGAAATAATCTTTATTCAAATAAACGCAATACAAGCATTTTGATTAGTCATATTTTTTATTCTACCACTCATTCGGAATGCAGATTCATCACAAAAAGAATGAGCGAGAAACTTGTGTGTTGCTATTTTGATTAGATGTTTTTTATATAAATAATTACACAATAACAAGAGGCATACGATAATCAACATAGAAACCACTACGCACTCATTCTTAGTGCAACCAGATAATATTGTCATCGCTATGAATTTAAGTTTTTTGTTTTTTCAAAAACATTATTATCGATCTATTCAATTTTATTTCTTTTTTTTTAGTGCAGTCAAGTCAAGTATTTTTGAAGTACTTATTGTATTACAAGAATAAAAAATCTTATATCTTTATAATATAGATATATGAAAAAAAATTAGGAATATTAATACGGATGACAATAATAAGTTATATCTGTATGTTTCATACTCAGTCACTGTTGCATGAATAAAATTTGGTAAACAAATGAATTTCTCATTTCGATAGCCCAAATCAGAAATTCGGAATTTCAAGCGAATATCCCGACAATTTCTGTCGATATAATTTAATTCGGTTGGTTCGGGCTTTTTATTTGACTACTGTACTTCGAATATTTTTTGTTGAACTGATAATATGAATTTAATACAATGCAAAGTTCGTTTATTTTACCGCTTATTCGGAAAGTAGACTTATAACAAGAACAAACAAGAAACCTGCGTGCTGCCCTTAAATAAATGTTTTTTATTTAAGGGCATTATATATTTAATATTCAATATAAATTAACTGCTAAATAACAAGATTGACAAACCTAGTAACATAATAGTAGATATATAAGATAGTAAATAATAATAGCTACTTGAGTGTAATAGCTAATTGAATCTATGTTGAATTACAGCCGTAAGGATACCTATGTACACATGTGTAGGTAATATATGTTAATTATAAATGTTTACACGTTCGTTTCAAGTAAGTATGTAATATTATGTTATCTGTGGTTGTAAGTAACAACCTTGTTTCTATGACGCCATGTCGACATTTCTAACGACTTCTCTCTTCGAAATTCTTACACAGTGATTTGTATTAAGTATAACAAGCGTAATCATGTTATACAATAACTGAATTTATCAGTTCTTTCATTGTAAGTATGATAATTATAGTGCACAAAACTGTCAAATATCATGTCATTAGGATACGCTGTTAGACCGAGAAAAAAAGAAACAAACTGAATTTCTCGTATATCATACTAAAGTTAAGTTATCAAATGATTTATTTGTAGATTCGTATTTGGATGTATATAACTAATGTGTTTAATAATAATATACAATTTTCAAGCTAATGATCAATCTAGATATGATCTGAATCTTACGTTTGTCTTACTTACTTTGTCATAAAAAAAATAGTACAGCTCACACAGCAATATCTACCAATTCAAACAGTGATTTAAATTACGATGGCCTGAGCCGATGTCCGAACCTGTAGCGGTGGCCTCAGACTAAAGTCGTATCGGTTAAGCGGGAGTTGGCCTTGAGACGCTCCATAAGTCCCTCAGCGGATTTGAAGTGCCATCTGCATTCGTCCCCTATCGTCCAGTGAAGCTGTAAAGGCCAGTTGCGGCAACAGTACCTATTAGAGTAGTCCGAAAAGAAACAGTATCTATAGTATCAGAATAATAAATAAAAAAAGTGATAACTAATTATATAAATATTTATTAATTTAGCATATTATAAAGTCAATAACTATTTTGTTGTTATTACGAATACATAATCACTTTCTTGATAATATAGGAACCTTAATTATATTCGAAAACATAAAACTGACGCGCTTTTCTTATCTCGTGGCATATTCCGTCAATTTACTTGAAGAGAAGACTGAAACAAAAAATATAGTAAAATAAATATATAGTTAATTTTAATATATATGTTTTATAAAAGTCAAAGAACATAAATTACAAAGCCTTTATGTCCTAATAATAATGTTAAAAGACGTTTAAAAGACAAACGAGAGCTGAGCGTGCCGAGTATCAAGAACCCCTTCGTCTCCCACCAGCGAGGAGACGGCTTTTAAAGATTTTTCCACAAGATAAAAAAGGTATTCGACAGCCTGTTTATCTATAACATAAAAAACATGTTTTTTAGCAACAAGCAAGCAAGGACGCGCTGATTAAAACATGTAATGATATTATCATCGCCTCGATTATCTATTCGCTTCTGTTTTTAATTTTAATAATTATCTTAACATGATCATTATTAATTATCTACATAAAAATAGGATTTGATAAGAATGTACTCATTAATCATGTTATTGATACGAGTCAATTATTAATCTTTAATCCAATCGAATACCAAAAATATCTATACATCTTTTAATTGTATTATCGTCATTTCAAATAATTAATGGTTTGAAAAATAATATGATGATGAGTTTCCCACTTTTCATTGCCCATTTCACCCCTTAATCTTTGGATAAACATCTTTATTGCATCTATAAGTAATTTTGGAAAATGTAACGAAAGTAAAAAAATAATTCAATGGATGTAAAAACTTATAGAGGTACGCAAGTATATTTAAAATAGTTTTATGTTCCAAAATTAATAAAGTTAATCATCATCATTTTAGAGCAAATATAAGTAAAAATAATACAGTTGAATAGAAATTATTATTTTGTATTGAACTGTATGATTTAAATTCATTGAGCAACCTGTAAACGTCATTCCATCCGACCATGTTGAAATATAAAACACATAATACATATAAAACTATAAATAAACTACTTTAATAGAATCTTGAAGCTCAAAAGATTGCATTATGTACAGGAAAGTCGATTTGGCATATAAGGCAGGTATATAATCATATTTATTACGTGTATATTAATTTAATAATGAATAAACTATATTACTACCAATATTACATTCCATACCTCTTTTCCTACGTGAATAGCCAAATGCGTATCTTCAGCGTCGCCCAGTACATTTATATTGGCATAACCATTGTTGCCCACTGTCACTTTACGTCCAGTACATGTTGTACCCTGTCTTTTACCAGTTATCACATCGCAATAATCACCAGGTGGTAAACCTGTCTGGAAAAATAATGTTCATGAACATTCATATACCGATATCTAGTTCCAAGCTAAGCAAAAATTGTTGCTTGGGTAACTCTATCAATAGTTCTAGCGATAAGATCGTCTTCTGGACCAGCATCTTTTTTCAACTTATCTTAAATGTTAAATTTATTTTATGTTTATTTAAATATTCTATAGCAAATGACTTTATTATTTTAAAATATAGTATACATAGTAATAGGAACATACAGACTCTTTGATTGATATTAAAATATTTTTTGTTAGTTTATTTATTTGCCTATAATATTATTTTAGTATTACATTATCTTATATTTGCTATTACTATATATGTAGTTAATACTATTTTACTTAAAGAAATAGTATGGCTATTTCTTTAAGTAAAATAATGTGAAACAAAATTTTTATATCTATATTTACGATATATAACCGAATAGCCTGATATTTCCTGAACGCTATTATCGTCCTACTTACAATAACAATTGTGTATAACATGTGTACATCTTGTCGTAGGTTGATATGTATATATACATCGCGTTATATAATGTATATGGAAGGCAAAAAGTTACTGTACGTAAATAATATATGTTCTGTTCAGGTAAAACTCAAATCACTTAGTACTCTCTCCCTCTTGTTTATAATTCTAGTTTGACTAGGTATAGTGCTTTTACATTCACTACAGGCACCTACATATGCCCTAATTTTGTCCGTACCGCAAAATTAGTCTTCCGATATAATATATCTAAGTGTAATTTCAGCCTGCATGTTTAATTAATAGCCAACCCGACTAGACGACGCTTGAAATAAATAAAAACATCATTCTTAGTTTACAATACATTATTGTATTATAAAGTAATAGAATACAAATATCTTAAATATAAAAATAAAAGGTACTGTACCTGATATCGGAATTACGCATGTGATATTTGTATTACTATTAAATTAATTTACGTTATTACTTGAACCTTACTTGAATAATTTTTATTTATTTACATAAATGTACATAGTATATGTAAATACATAATATCTGACTACCACTTACTTTATTTTTCGTAATACTCTAAAATAAAAGTACTTTTCTAACGTTGTCTGGAAGAGTCCTTTGAAATTGATTTATTCTTCAGTATTTTGTTTATTTCCTTGTAACTAATTGTAACGTTAACACATTACAGCATTATAAATAAATAAGATAAACGAACATATTATCATATATCTATTTTATCTCTGAATAAGATCTCCACATGGATAAAATGGTGGAAATAACATATGTTACTATTATATTATAAACAAATGAATCATCAAATAATTTAAAAATACCTGTAATGACTCATTCAAGTTTCTCCCCTCCACGTTGAAGATAATAAAGCCTTTATTACCACTACTAAACGCTATCTGGTTATTACCGTTGTCCCACCAATTCTGTACCCTTTCTTTTCCAACTGCATTCCTGAATGCAACCATTTGGTATATTTGACGCCATCTATGTTCACACACCCAGCCATTTCCGCATGTGTCATCCTAAAGATAAAAATAAATATTTATTATTATTATTCCCACCCTCTTTAATATTCTTGAACATTTCACATAACGCCACCTAGTCCCAAGTTAAGAAGAGATACATAGATACTTCTTTTTGTAAATACATACATATTTAATATAGATAGAAAATACCAAGGCTGATACAATCATACTCATTAATATGAAAATGTTTGTAATGTGCAAGGAACCGAACCCGCGACTATCGGAATTAAATCACTAGACCACTAATGGCGCCAATAAAGGCTAAAATATTATTATCACACTTATTTATTTATTCATCTTCCCATTATAGGTATACCTTACGGCCCGGGTATCATACATATAGAACGGGGTGTCGAAATGTCTTTGTTGAAATATATGGTATACACACAAAAATGCAGCAAAGACTCAACTTCAATACATACAGGTAATAGTAATGATGCAAATGATTCTGTACTCATAATAAGTAACGCAGATAAAGTCAAAAACATTTGATTGTAAAATATCTTAGTAATATTGTGAAGTTTGTGAATATGAATGGATGGCTGGTTGTTGATTTTTCTTTCACGCAATAACAACTGGAGGATTTTAATGAAACTATACATATAGCCTATCTTATATCAGAATAACATACAGGCTATACATTTCATGCAGGTATAACCGCGTATACAGCTAGTATATAATATTTAAGACCTAACAAAAGCTAAAAAAGGAAAATGAAGGTTATATCAAAAGGTTATGATAATTCACAATATTACGCGCGCCTATTGAACGCACGGCTTTGTTTCCGGCGAGGCAAATTAATAAATTTTCTTTTCAGTAGATATTAAAAATGTCGTATATATTTTTCTTATATTATATTCATATTATAAATGTAAAAGTGTCTGTCTATCCTTTTGCTCGTTTGTTTCTTCTTTTTTTTGACTCAATGAGTGGACGGCTCTTAGTTATCTAGATATATTCAAACGAACATACGAGTAGGTTATTTTTTATCTTCACCATAATCTATAAGGGGAGAAGAATGTTTGTACAGACGAAGTTAGGAGTAACTATGTACCTATGTAGGTACTGATAACTATATGTATTATCTTGTTTATTGAAAATGTAATTAGTATAATTACAATTTCTGATAATATATTTTTCATAATATTTTTCTTTGTCGCTAAGCTATGATCGAGGTAATGCTGTGCACCTACAAAGTCATATTATTGGTACATTTTCAAACCTATTATATTATCCTGCCAATCAGCTTGCTTGAAGATAATATATTATTATGCAGGCACTGCAAAGCTCATTCTACAGTGTTGCTAGCAAACATGGTCTGAAGTGGTCGTATTACAATCAGAAAAGCCTTAAGTATACAATTTCTTTTTTGTTTTTACTTGAGGGAGATGTTCTCTGGATATTCAAATAGTAATAATATATTCTATCAATCAATTGTTTCATCACTTCGATGATTCATATTTGTCATTACTGGTGCCAGAACAGTAGAAGAATACTAATTTAAAATGAAATGGATTATTTTTTTTTATATACTTATTCTCTTTAACAAACTGTTAAGTATGTATATATAGTAGGTATAATATATTAAGGTAGTCTTTGTATAAAATCCTTTGCGTGCACATCACAGTCTTGTATATACAAGTAGCGTGCTTTGTAAGCTATGTTTTGACTCTAGGAATAAGGTTATTACAAGTAATTACAAGATAAGAGGAATGTCTTCTTAGTTCTCCGGAATGGCAACGCATCAGCGGTATCACGGGCATGACATGAGTACATGATGTTTATAGTACAGGTTATTTTTTGCCATATTTGATAAAAAAAATTCAACCAACAAAGAAGAAGGATTTAGTTAAGTAGGTAACTTGAAACTGTAGATATGCATATTATATGCTAAATGGGTCCCAAATTTGAATAATTTTTAATCTTTTAATGGACCAGTATTCTCTTATTGCGCTTCAGTTATTTTAGGGTCAGTATAAATCTTTCGTGGTAGAAAACAATTTTGAGTTTAAAAATATATTTAGTACCACTTGCCTGCCCCGGCTTCACCCGGACACTGATAACGTTAAGAGATTAGTAAATATACATATAGTACATGAAATAATGTACCTTTCAACTTACTAAATCTGAAAAGATTTATAAAATCGATTCAAATAGTTTTTAAGTTTATAAATCACAATCATATCTTTCCTTTGTTTACTAATAATGAACATCGGAAGTGTTGAAGTTTGTTTATCGTTGATTTTACTAAGACAGTCTATGAAAAAGATGTCTGCCTGAAAACCTCTGAGATAAGGCAGTAAAATTACAGGATATGAAGGCATCACATCCTTGTAGGCTGGAATGGCAATCCGTGAGTGGTAATACTATTCATGTAATTATAGACAATGACTGTCAGCATGTTTGTAATTCTTACCTTATTAACACTTGGAGAAATGATATTTTCATTACTATCACTCGGAGGTCCTTGATGTATTTCATTGAAGAAATAGCTGCTCATTATTCGAGGTTCGCCATATGGATGTGCTAGAATGAATGCTATAGCGGCCTGTAAAAACTTGTAATATAATAACAATAATCCTAAAATAATTAAACAAGAGGTTTATTTGAAATAACTTAAGTAGGTATACAGAATTAATATAACCATACAATAAATATGTTTGTATTTACAGGGTTTCGAATTCGAACCTACTGATAATAAAGTATGCTAAACGTCATCATCATCGAAATCGGCGGAATATAATCTCGGCATTGAATTAAAATTATTAAGTATTTTATATAGAAATCATAATATTTAAGAATGTCAAGGACATAGACATAGGGACTACGTAATTTATATTTAGTAAAAACACCAAACCTAAAACTTTTGAAATTGATCAATTCCATCCAATTTGGCTGCAATAATTTGAAACATCTATTTCAGAAAACTATAATGAGAATAGTATAATGTGATTAGAAAGAAAATTAAAAGTATGGAAAGTACTAAGTAGGTAAGTAATTAATAATTAATTAATCAAAACGAGTGTATGTATAAGTATTCTTTTATAGATAAAAGTTTATAAAACTATATTTTCGATGACAGAAACTTCTTCTTTCGTTGCAAACATTTTACTTGTTACCTACAATATATTTTTATTACAATTATTTATATACAAGTGTTGTATATATTTTACCTTATATGCCCTCGATTGCTTATAAGTAAGGACGCCTCCATTTCTCTGCGTATCGTGGTTGTCTATGAAAGTCAATGCTGAGTCACTTGGTAACAACCCCCACTGTTCACCCCACGATACAAGCCATTTAAGGGGGTTATTGGTGCGAAAGATATTTGCCCACTCCGATCCCACCTTCAATAAAATTTAATATGTAGGTATAAATCATTATTTAACGAAACACTATTAAACGTTTTAAATTACAACTAGCTGTTACCATCTGCTTTTTTTTAAATAAAGCTAGCCTATGTACCTACATAATTTCATAGAAATCAGTTCAGCCCTTACGTTGTGTAAAGGTAACAAACAGTAAGACAATCACTCAAACACTTATATTATTATTCGTGGATTCACGAGCAAATATTCATTTCGCCAAATAAAAAACATACCAATTTACTTACACATTGGCGCTAAACTATAGTTCAATTCCAAAAACGAACACATATTGAAAGTATAAAATATTTCAATTAGTTAATATATTTATTGAGAATTTTATACTTTAGATTTCTATTTTAATTTCAAGTTTTATAGAAAAATCTACTTTTTACGAATAATCAATATATAAATTATCATTGTTAATCTAATTCACAAGGCTACAAATTTAGGTATATAGAAATACATTGAATTTTTTTAATAGGTCTAGAACTATAATATTTATAAATATGGATAGAGTTATGTTCATTTACAGTCTACATTTCTGGTATAAAAAATAAATACGTTATCGATTTTGTCAATTTAAAATGCTTTCACATTAGATATCCAGCAATCGTATGTAAGTTCGCTTCTACATTTCAAATATAAAAAAGAGCTACGTTATCGATTTTGTCAATTTAAAATGCTTTCACATTAGATATCCAGCAATCGTATGTAAGTTCGCTGCACTGATGATGGGCGAGAATGTAGTGAGGACTCTACGTCGAGAATCGAATGTGAACCATTTTACTTAAATTGGTTTGCAGAGTCAGTGCTATCATATTGCATCTCAAACTACGATATATTTAAGATTTTGAATGTAAGAAATAGAAAATATTAAAAAAATCCTAAAACAAAAGTATATACAGACACTACTATATCACAAATAAGATAATATTACATATACTATACTAATACAGACTATACTGTATGTTAACATTATAGAGAGAGACAGAACGGATTCTTTTGTAATTAGAATAGCAAATAAGCTAACGTTTCACCTGAATCGTCGATATACATGATCTGAACTACAGACATCTCGTATTAATGTAATATTTGTAGCAGCCCTTGAACATTGGCAAGACATCGCGTACCATATAATTTATAAAGTCTGCTAACAAAAGAAACTGTCATAGTATATGACAGAGAGAATTTCATGTAATGTACATCCTCTCGTCCTCTCCTTCGTGGTCAGTACCTCGTAAATTAGCCAACAACCTGACTTCATGTTCATTCTATCATCCTCCACAGGTGCCAGCGTATATCGTTAGCGCAAGCGGATGTCCCATTTTATTCTCAGTTACAAAAAAAACGTCTACTTACTTTTCAAGTATAGTATAACATCTAACCTGCCGAGGTTTTCTCGAGAGAATACAGCATGGGGTTTTTCAATAAGGGTATATTAAGGTTTCTTAAGGGTCGGCAACGCGTATGTGACACCCCTGGTGTTTCAGGCGTCCATAGGCTACGGTAACCGTTTACCATCAGATGGACCGTATGCTTGTTTGCCACCTAAGTGGTATAAAAAAAAAACTTACTCTAAACTCTGTGACATCTCCAATAGGCGTATACTCCGATGGTTTTATAGGTTCATTACCATAGTATATAACTTCTTGATAAATATATGGCTTTGAATTCGGCGGGAAGCCAAAATCGACGTTCAAATTATTTAGTCTACTGTAAATTTTCTTTAAATCACTTGGCCACATATGTTTCGCGGCGTCCACTCTGTAATATGATAAAACATTAGTTTGTAATACAAGAGTATTGTATACAAATACACAATTAGACGTAAAGTTAATAGTAAAGACAAATACTACATTTAAAACGTACACATATTTTTTATACTTATCATACTAAATTACTCACGTCACCGCAAAGATTGTATAAAGATTTAAAAATATATGAAATTTTCAATTTCACTTATTGGAGAAATTTTCTCTTTAACTACTACATGCATTTATATAGGGACACGAGTATGATAAAGGGAATACCCTCTTCGTTTTGTATAATAATATGTTAATTAAAGAAACACTGGCCATATCACATAACGCCATCTAGTAGTGACCCCCCAAATAAGGTAAATATATATTAGCAGTATTACGTTTCTAATACAAAATTAACACCATTAATGTACTGAATATTATATGCAAATAAGGTTATGTTCAAGTTTTCCCATGTTTTCACATAATCTAATAGGTATCTTATTAATATTATTAACACCTACTTACGAGTACTATCTTACTAAGCTTATTATCTCACTTATAACATATTGTCATTAGTAAGATAAGTTAATAAAATAGCGTAATTATCAAATGGCGGAAATAAATCAGAATTAAATTTGAAAACCAATAAAATTATAATTATATTAATTAATTGATAGCGATAAATAAAAATAATTAATTTTAAAATATAGAATATTACCTACTTTTTTGAACCTACTATCACCTTACGTATGCCTCATAGGCGTCACTGTCTATTTATACGATGGCTACCACTTTCCATCTTGTGGGTTCACATGTCATTAAACAGTAGCAAACTAGTCTAATCTTTCATCGACTCATAATAAAGTCTTTTATGCTGCTTCTAACTCACTCAAAATGAAGTATTTATAGATATATGTATATAGCAAATGTACATATTATCATAGTCTGAGGAGACTATATGATGCTATTTCAAATTTCTTGTATGAAATAGCTTGAAATTTATATTACTGTGTAATATATTTGATACTTACAACTATGCTATACATGTTGAAAGTTTGAAAGAAATAATAATAATCGAACGATTCGCAGCAAGTAATATCTCATTCAATTTATACAGATTATATCCACAGACAGTACTTATCATGAAACTTGTTTATTTATAAAATACAGAACACTAGTAAAATCCACCAACACAAAGTAATAAATTACACTGCCATGAGGACAATTATGGTTAAGAGGTTTCAATACAAATTATAAACCGTAACCTTTAAAGGATTAATCACATAAAAATTAAAGCAGATACAACGAAATCATTTCAAACATTACATCCACAATGAATAGAATTAAAACTAACAGTTACCTGCGATTTCATTATTTTTTTTTTAAATACAAGTAAATCGATCGATTTGGACCAATCGTCCGTACAACCGATTAGTCGTAAAAAGGTGACATATAGATAGAGAGATGCACTTTTGCATTTATAATATTCGTATATATTCCATCGTCACATAACAGTAAAGGACCAAAAATAAAGAAATAAATAGGTAGTAAGGTAGTAAATTATAATCTAACAATAAGTGTTTACCTGAAACCAGCTACTCCAAGTTCAATTAAATGATTAAAATATTTCGTAATTTTCTGACGGACATACGCCATACTCTGATTCAAATCTTTTAGACCATTCAACTGACAGTCGCGAACCTGTTATCATAGTTATTATTATTACTATTATTACGCATGTGTTTACTTTACAAATACCAATAACAAACCGAATTAATCCGAGACGGTGATACCGTCTCTTGCCACGTTGGATACCAATATACCCAGCAAAATGTGAATATGTTAAGTGTTGCGTTCAATACGTGAATATAGAATTCAACTACGTCTCTGATCACCCCATCTAGAATGGTAACGGTCGTGAAGGTGCATTTATAAATTAGATACATACAACATCATGGATCATCTGCATTTATAGACTCATACAATACTAACAAAAAAGATTTTTCTGAGATATTCTCATAGCTGTGTTTTGAACTGCTGTTCCTCTAACAAAAAATACAGTTACATACCCAACTAGCTGTTGACGCGACTTCGTCCGCGTGGAATTTAACTTTATTTAACTAAAACTAAGAAATTTTCTAAAATAAAAATAGCCTAAGTTACTCCTTATTACATCAAATACCTACCCAACAAAGTCTCGTCAAAATCGGTCCAGCCATTTCAGAGATTAGCCGGAACAAACAGACCGACACACAGACAGACAAAAATTGTAAAAAATGTTATTTTGGTATATGTACCGTATACATATTCATATGCATGTAGTAAAAAACAGTTATTTCAATATTACAAAACAGACACTCCAATTTTATTTATATGTATAGATGTATAGATTATTTATAAAATGATAAAAAATACACAATAATAAACAATACAAAGAAGTAACAACAGGCGGCCTTATCGCTAAAAAGTAATCTCTTCCAGGCAACCTTAGGACGGAGAGAAGTGATCAAACTTGCGTCTGGTAACAGTAATTAATACACAACAATATTAAAAAAGAAAAAAATAATACAAACTTCAGTAACGTTGTAGTAGTTATTTATAAAACAAAATGGATGATGGAAGTGCTCTTCTGTGTATGGGACGGCTGGATATGAATACTTCTGGAAATCGGCAGTACTGCCTCCAGTCCCTATGTTGTTTCGGTTGTCACCAGTCATATGATTAACAACTACATCCGCATAGATCCTGATAAACAAACGGTATCAATCAATATTTTTACTTCTCTGTAACGTGGAGTGCATGTAACAACGCAATCTACTATCTACTGCATGACTCTATGTGTGTACGTATATACTAATATTGTTTTTATTGCATAAGGGACTAATAATCTTGCGGCTCACCTGATGGTAAGTCATTACCACCGCATATAAGTACTTGAAACACCAGGGGAATAGCAAGTGCGTGCAGGTCTTTTAAGAAGCAATAAACTCTTTTTTTTTAAGTTTCTGTATCGTACCGGTATTACTTAGATAATTCAGATTACGTGCCGAAATTTCGACACCCCCTTAATTTGTGACTTAATTCATGGATTGAAAACCTTCAGGTACTAGATATCACATACTTACACCTATACTCTGATAACAATAGAAGTGAACTGTGATATATAGTTTTGGGATTCCGAGCCATAAATATCATAATATCCAACTCACCTCACACCAACTTTATTGCATCGCTTTGTCATATTCAAGAATTCTTCTGCATTCCCTGACCGGGTCACAAGTTTGTACGACATTACTTGGTACCGTTCATACCACGGTCTCGTGTTGTCGTTTAAATGTATAATTATATTTTCGGACGGTGGAGAGACCTGTTTATGAATAAGTAGATCTAAGATAAACAAAACAAATAAATGCATTCTTAATAATATCTAATATTATCAACGGAATCGGTGGTCTAGGGGTATAGCACACCGCCTTACTTCCGATCGACGCGACGTGGGTTCAATTCCTCATTATCATTCGAAACATTGGTGAGTATTCTTAACTATAAGTGTTTGCATTGGTCTGGGTGTTTTCTATGTATATTAAGTATGTGTTATGTAACACAATCTGCTTAGCTTAGGATTAGGTGCTGTGTGAAAGGACAGATTATATCCACCATTTACCATAATTTGGGCCGTAAGCAGGTTCTTTAAAAAAAAATGGAAGTAGGTTATATTTTATCAAAAAAAAAGGATACAAATTTGCGACTAACAACTAGTTGAGTAGTAAAAATACAGAGAAAAATCTGTTTTTGAAATCTGTTAAAATAAAATGCTAATAAATATTATCTTATCTGTGGACATACCTGAACGCCACTAAAACCATGAGGTGCAAGAAACCTTTCACACTCATCAGCAATATCCCTCCATTTCCATTCAAATAAATGAACGATTGTCGATCTGTCCGGCAACTGATTTGTCCTTTCGTGGTGATCACAATATGCAGGCCCTAATAATAGTGCCAATAATGCTGTGATATACATTATCAGTTTACTCTGCAATAAACAGACTAACAATTAAAGATTTCATGCCGCAAAAATAAACTCGTTAAATAAAAATAATACCCAATAACCTAGGAGAATTAACACAACACTATCTAGTCCTAAACTAAGATCAGCTTGTACTATAGGTCGGTAAAAAAAAAAGCCTTCAAATTATAAATATTAGGTACACTAGCTACTCAACGTGAAATCGCACGGAAGCAGTTACTGTAGAGATTTCAAATTATCTTAAAAAATATTATAGATATTATTACTCTGTACCTACGCTAATAATGCAGATATATATCTATAGGTGAGGATTTTTTAAATTGACAATATATTTCTCTTTATAATATTTGTAAAGATTGTATGTACTTATATTTACATTTAAATACTTAATATTTATGGTTTTATCGAATGTAATAGTTTCTATTCGTATAAAATAATATATCTACATATAGTAATTTAATATTTTTTTGTATTTGTATATCAGTCCAATTATCCATTCGTCCATTCGATTATTCTAAAGATTATAATAAAAATTGTTTCTATTGTATTCCATTCCATGTTAGGCATGTATTGTACATTGTACTGTTCTGTATGGAGAATACCCTTAGGTAGAATTTCAGTTAGTATTCGTCAGATCTGTTATGATTCAGTCGATTACAAATAGAATAATTAAGAATAGGCTAGGTATATTACTGTCTACTCAATAGACAATAATAGTTGTTAATATAAATAATATAATAAAATTAATTAACTACATAATATATCATTGTGCATCAAAATTTTATTTAATAATTTTTTATTGGACCCGGTAAACATTGTTTTACTATATGACTTGAAGTACAAATATCTATGGCGCTATTAAAATTAGAGGTTGATGGTAGAAGGGTGAAAAAATAGAATTATACCTACGATTTATTGCCAACTTATAAAAAATAATATAATTTTTCCATTTTTGTCCAATAGTTATAAAATAATATTTTCTGAGTGAACCACCCTTATCACTTAGGGGTATGAAGAATAGTTTACGTACTATTCACAGACCTACTGAATATACACACATTTTATAAGAATCAGTCAAGCCGTTTCGGAATTTTGTTACATTACTGTGACAAGCGATTTTTTATATTAATAGAGATATTATATAAAAACACACGAATCTAAAATCAGGAGTAATAATAGGTGAGTAGTAAGGGCCCCATGGATCACCTCCTAGATCGCCTCGTATGTAACGATATAAAGGCAGATTTATATAAGAACTCTTAACTATTCCTGAGTATGTTTTCTATTCGTATTACGTAGTCGACGTGAGCATGATGTAATAATAAAAAAAATAAGTTTTATGCACATTGGACATTATTGCACATTTATAATAAAGAAAAACATTTTATTGGAAAGTGCATAACAAAAGGCAGACTTTTACTAAAGACAACCTGCATACTTAAGTAGGTACAGAGTACATTTAGTAATGATGCAAGTACATACCCTGATTTAAAATGGTGAAGTAGTCCTCTTTTTGCCTGTAATTACCTACACTAAAAATATACTCAATCGATGCATAAATAAAAAAATAACATTAGGCACTTAATAAAAAAAGACTACAGTAAAATTATAAGTCGTTTCTCGTAGTAGGTATTATGGATTAGAATTGAGATAGGTAAAGCATTTTTATCTATGTAGGTAGTTACACAATGTAGGTATTTACACAATTTTAGATGACACTACACCAGCTGGCACTTCAGATCAAATCAGCTTGACCATCTAGCGAGGTGACAATGCTAATATTTTAGAAATTCTTCTACACAGGCAAATTTATAGTAAACCCTAGTCATTATACAAAAGAAATATAAACCCCAAATAAAACTTCAACAATGTAAACCCACGGTGTAAAAACATTAGTCATAAAATGTTTTTCATCCCATGTGCTGCGAAAATATCCATCCATGTGTATCCGGGACGGGGTTCTAGTAGGTAATGTAATTTGTATTAGTAACATTTTATATTACTAAATCAAATAATTTACCAAGCATATTATTTAAGTACAAACACATTCTATTGGTATACGAGTGTATAAAAATAAACAAGATTAGTTACTTACCTGTATGCGTCCAAAGAAAAACTATATTTCTTACTTGATTCTAATTCTGGTTAACAGATTGTTTTCAAAAATTGATCTAGAACCAATATGCGTGGCGTTACTTATTTAATATACCGAGCCAACTCTGACACACTACGTACATCGAATTAAACATACAGTACCTACCAGTAAATTAAAAATACTAACCAGTAGGTAAATACTTTTGTACACAACAATACAATGCTAATGTGTATGTAAAATAGTTGTCAATTGTTAATAATGCCACTTCGAAACGATACCAGCTTTTATATAGGCATATGAATCATATTATGAGTGACCTATTTTACGTGTATACAAAATATTCCAAGCTACTGCAGTTCCAACCAAATTCTCCTCTGCAACTGTTGCTTCCGTTATAAATTCTTGCACCTATCCGCTTCCTGTATTCACGTGCTTTACATAGGTACGATAGGTAGAGACTATATTTTACTACGGAAAAAACAAACATAATATATTTTAAGTGACGCTTTCATTCACTAACAAAAACATTCCTAAGGAAAGATCCTTTATTGTACTGGAAAGACAGACAATCTGTACATAAATGGTAACCGACGCCTACAGAATAAAATAAAATAGAAAATCATTTATTCAAATAAACTTACATTGAAGAACTTTTGAATAGTTATCACTTATTTCATACATCAGTCATTCGGAAAGCGGTTTCAAGTACGAAAATAACTTACGCGTTACTCTTTTAAATAATTTATACATGAGCCTATATACATGAACAGTATTACGGACAACATCGTTCAATACCCTTAATTCGTTTTTATTACGAAGCACGTAAAATTATAGAATAAGAAGAAGGGCATCTTAGCCATTCTTCTTATTCTATAATTTTACTGCTTTAACTCACCGTTCAACTGCGTTAATTTTAGAAATGGCTTAACTTTTTTGTATGCAGATTACTAATGTATTGTGATATCATCATCTGCTTCTTCCTTGTCCCATTTATTTGGGGTCGGCGTAATGTTTTTCTCTTCCATTCATCTCTGTTCGCAGTCAACTCGTTATTTACTCCCTTTCTCATCATATCATCTTTCACACAGTCCATCCATCTCTTTTTCGGTCTTCCTCTACCCTTATAACCATCCACATTCATATGTAACACCGTCCTTAGGATATGATCTTCATTCCTACGCATTACATGCCCATACCACGATAGACGATTACTCTTTAACCTCTCCGACATCCGTGCCATTTTCATACTTCCTCTGATGTATTAATTCTTTATCTTGTCCATCCTTGTCACACCACACATCCATCTCAACATTCGCATTTCAGTTACATGCAGTCGTCTCTCATCCGTAGTCTTTATGGGCCAACACTCTGATCCATACAAAACAGCAGGCCGGATCATGGTCTTGTAAATTTTGCCCTTAAGTTAAGGGGTACTCGTGAGTCGCACGTAAACGTAGGTACTAATGTATTGTGATAAGATTCACTTAAAATGTTTGTTTTTTTACAATCTGTTTACAAGCTAAAAACTTATAGGGGTACAAAGTAGCGTGATCAGCTAATACTTATAAAATATATATAATATAGAAGCGCGATGAAGAAGGGAGCTCTTAGAGAAACAATTTTGTTTTGTAGAATTTTATTTATTTTAATATTTGAATTAGAAAATCGAAATTACATACTGCAAATCGTTACTAACTGCATACAAATTGACATCATTATTATTAGATATTTAGTGAATAAGTATTGTACTTCTATGCATCTAAAATGGATTATTATGAAAAGGATAAGATATAGGTAATTATATATTATTACCAGAATTAATGCAATTCCCCTCATACGGACCAATTTTAAGGTTTTTTTTCATTACAGAATTACATGAAGACTTTGGTATTTCAGCTACCATGGACGTAGTAACATCATCCGCTTCCCCGCGTTATCATCACTTATAACTATGACTTAGGGCTATGAATATTATATTTAATGACTACAAAAGGTTACAAATTTGAACATTCACTCATACATATATTTGAGTGTATATAAAAAATTATCAAAATGCATCATTATGCACATAAAAGAGTACCTAATACATCAATTTTGAATTAACCCAACACGTGATATGAGTAACCATACATATACATAAATATAACGAATTTGACCTCCAAGCGGTTCCTCCCAGAAACCATTGTGGTTAATCACGATTGGCAAACTGACCTGGCATCATGTTCTTCTTATCATCATCCACTGGTGCCCCGACAGCGTAAACCGTTTACGAAGGTGGGTGCACCATTCCATTATCATTAAAAGAAAATATGATAAATTGTTTGTTTTTAATATTTATGCCACGCTTAATTGTGTTGGGTTGACTGTAAGAGATATTTGCTTTCCGATTATTATTATTTTACTGTATTTTCAGAGTGCGATATGATTATATTAAAATTAATGACTATTTTAAGTACTTATACATAATATCAGTGCTTTCTAAAGTAACTGATTTTTTGGTCTCAAAATACTATAACTTATTATTACAAATAATATTATTCAAAACATTATATGTTATGTCTAGAATTTTGTGAATGAACAAATACAAATAATATAAATGAGTGAGATTCAAACCAATTTGTGGAGTTCAATCTTCATTGCGCTAGGCGCAAACAATCACGACTCATTAAAGCAATGTAATTCAGTCTGTTCTAAGTAAACCGTATTTACAATGCTATGAGAGTCTCGTTTTGATTGTATTTTTTATATCAACTTACACTTATGCATTGCAATATATCTTGACATAAAATAAACAGTATTTTATATATATATTTTTGCAATCGATAAGGTTTAATAATCTAGAAGGTCCGACGATTATTAGAACAAATCATACTTGTGCCTTTATAACTTCATCGAACGAAAATGGGGTCGAACGCAGTGGGCAAATACCCGCGGACTTAGGAACTTAGGAAACGACGCTCAACTCCTGACTGACTGATATGACTTTAGTCTATGGACACCGCTGGGGTTCCGTAATATCGATTTTTATATGGGACAGGGTATCGATTGGAGGAGCTTATTCTGCATCTATGCAGATTCTAAATCAAAAACAGTCAAATCATATGACATTGAAAATCGGGACTAGTTTAAAAAACATCGTTTTTTATTGGACTCAGTGTGTAACTCGAGATCGCTTTAGAAGTACTTTTATATCAGTCCTGCGTTAACACTAATATGAAATTAATAATGTTGGCAACATCCTTTAAGGAATTGATTAGTCAAGACATTTTTATTTAAATCTAGAAATTAGCTGCAATCAATCACAATTTTTTTTATCACTTTAAACATTATACCACTATAATATTAAATTAAATTTATTCAGTCTTGATACTTTCAGTAATGACTTTTGAACGTCGATGCGTTATATTGCACATTTATATTAACAATTCGGTTCATAAAATGATTTTTTATTCATTATGAATTATTCCATTATTAAAAATATAAAATTAGCAACTTTCTTTATTGATAATTATAGTTCTAAACTCCACCTTTCCGTTTACCAAACTTCTCTTTGGCGAATGCACTTTGTGCGAAACCATAACATAAAAAAAACAAACGAAGTGCACGCAGAAAACCGCGAGCACAGTTAATAATAAAGTTTTATCTCATTAGTACAGAAAGTAACATTTGGTAAGGTCAGTCCCTTAAATTCTTATTCTGTTAAACGAAATTAAATATAATGCCGTTGAAATAAGAGTTTACTTTTAGATATTATTAAACTTTAGTTCCTGGGACTCAGGTGAAATATAATTAGTATCAAAATCTTAGTAAATAGCTTATGAATATATTAATGCAATATCAATTACTTATTACTTGACTTATACTCAAGTTTACTAAATTTTAGTCTTAGATCTTAGATTACTCCAGAATTGGGGCGAGGAACAATTCGCTGAGTGGAGTGTTCTCGTTCCCCGTTTGGAACGAACGCTTTATTACAACACGAGGGTACTGCTCGCGCCACTCTATAACCTGAAAGTAATAACAATAATTTTGCAGGTGAGGAAGGTTTTAGTATTACTTATTAGGCTAGATAAGTAATTAAAATTTTTAAATATCGAATTAATACGTGGACAAGACTCAAACATAAACAATAACCGACGACAATTCACACAGCGCTATCTACTTCCGAACTAAACAAAGGTTCTACTATAGGTACTAAAAACCTATAAAAATACTTAAATACACTTTTTTAATATAATATATACAAATATTTGTATATTACGTTCACGCCGGGGCCGACTTTAATGCTTATTTGCTGCGCGCAGAGCTCTAATTTATGCTACGCTTCATTCTTCTGGCGGCGCGGGCCACCGGTGGTACGCTCCGCCAGATAAGACAGACCCGCGCCGGCGTGAACGTAATATAGAAAATACCCACAACAAACATTAATAATACAATCAATACAAAATGAATTAAACAATCCCACTCATGAATACAAATGTTTATATCGTACGAAGAATTGAACTTCGGTTAAGGTGACGTTTCATCGGATGTATCCTTGCTTTTTGATACAAGTGACATTACTCATAACATAGCGTAAGAATATTTTGTGGTTAGAAGATACAAAGTATGTAATAAATACTGAGCATATAGTAGTGTCCCTTATTTATGATTTGTTATAAATTTTTGTTTGGCTATTAACAGTGATGCTAATTCATGTTAATAATAAAGTTAATAATAAAATAATTAAAAGTATTAATGAGAATTATATTAAAACTATAGGGTCTCTACCTCAAACGACAAATGACTATTAATAGATAAAAATTATATCAATTAAAATATTACCTGTGCTTCGGGTATTTGATCACAGAAGCTCACGTCCAAAAGTCGTAAATCAGGACATTCGTCCAAAATACTGGAATAGAAATATTATACGATCTATAATTATTTAATTACTCTGTACACTTTTTTATTTTATTTATGTATATCAGGCTGCTAATTCAAAGATATTTGCAGCAGCGCGGGTAGACGGGTTTCAAGCCATAACGCACAAGAAAGCTGCATCACTGATGTCTAGAATTCGGGAGAGCGCAAACAGCATCATAACAACTATTGCAAATATATCTGATTGTCCACTCCAAAGGCACTGGATATTGTTGCATTGGGGAACCAGTGCTTCTGGACGTGGACACAAATATATGAATTAGGTGTATATATCTCTGTATCTGTATATATTAAGTTACTAACATACTTTTATAAGTTGTTTACTAACACAATATTTATTATTAAAATATAAACACCTAATACACTAACATACATGTTATAATAATATAAACTGTCTGTGCGGATACAGCACCAATACACCCTTCGGCCAATAGTCCTCCTTCATGAAGGACTGCAGCTGCGTCACCCTCAATGTCAGATTACTCCTGATACAATGTCCTGCTCCTTGCTTGCCATTTTAGTTTTATTTTTACATTAATGATGTATACCCCGGCGCTCACTGGGTAGGATTCAGTCTATGTTACTCTCTGATATGTACCTATCTAGCAGTATATATAGGTTTAAGTATTTATAATGGCAAATGAGACCCACCTGATGGTAAGTGGTGACTGTTACCTACATACATGAACAGCACTACGGCCATTGTTATCACCTGATGACAGTGATACCACTCATCCGTACCATTTCGAAGGATTAAGATGCTTCCATGTGTAATTTCAATGAACTCACTCTTCAACCGAAACAACTTACAAAGCTAGCTGTAATGCGGTTAAAATAGATGAGGCAAATGTACCCATACCGACGACCTTTTACCTCGGTATATCGGTATATCGTTTATTAAGTTTTAGCAATACTTTTCTCCTTATAATACTAGGTACTATATATAACACTTACGCATCACAAATGTCTGATGTCAAAGCCCTCACGCCAAGTAAGTCGAGTTGTTGCAACCGGGACAGCGACGGGAGAATATCCCTAATATGCCGATCGCAGATCCCCCGCAAAGCTCCCAGGAACAACTTTCTCAATTCAGTACCAGTGAGCCAAAGCAGCCAATCGCCCGTCGCACCCACTTGCAAACTACATGTCATTAGTTTATTAATTAAATATAAATTCAATACCCTATAGGTCTGGTGATATAAAATAGTAGATGACTATATATTAATGTTAACTAAAGTACGCTGGACGAAAAGTTGAATAACGTTTTATGAAAAAATGTTTTATTTTTTTAAGCTCTATCAATTTACTTTTAAACTTTTTTATTGTATGACAACACTTCATATATTTGTCGACTGCCACTTACAAATTTGTCGGTACATAATACATGGAAATATACCGACTACAGAGACAGCGGTAAACTTGCCCTTGGCATGTTGACATGCTAATACACCAAGTGTAATGTGGTCATATCAAATGTTCTATTCACCGCAACGCCGACAGTAGAAAATACCTTTACACCATGCAGTTCGAATGAAATTTTATTTTACACATACCTTTTTTGACATAAGCTTTAGGCTATTTACAACCTTTTCCAAAACATTTGTATATTTATATAAATAAAAATATTTATAATTATGTACAAAAAAACTAATGTTTCGCTTTTATTTTTTTTTTCGCATTGACTGAATGAAATTTACCTGATGTAGTGTTAACTTATTTGTTATTTCTTCTATGTCTTAGTATTATATATTTGTTACCTCCTTAATATCTGATCGTTAGCTAAAGCTCCACATTTTATATCCTTAATGTCCGAAACAGTTAACAGACACTAATACTAGTGTCACACATACATTATACTTACCTTTATATTTACTGAGCAAAGCCCATTACTCACTAAACGATTACTTGAATGACGAGCGTGCATGGCAATAGTTGTTCATGCACAGGATTTTCATTTAATGTTAGACATAGACACCTATGCAAATATACATTGTAAATAAACTGGCTTTAAAAAAAAAGTAATTCAATTGAGTTTCTTGCCAGTTCTTCTCAATTGGATCTATATACCGAACTGGACGGTAAGGAAAAAAATAAAATTATAATGTAAAAATTTGACGTTCATAAGCGGCTAAAATGTCCTACATGAATAAATGATTTTTGAATTTGAATTTATAATAATAATAATATTACAATATAAATATATATACATACCACCAGCCAACATCTAATTCTTGCAAATTTTTACACTTGCCGATCGCTTTGGCGCCCGTGGTCGTCAGTGAGAATGAACGCCAGAAATCAACGGATATAAGGTTCGGACATTTATTACCCAGTGCTTTAGCTACGTCGTCCATTGATGATATCATTTTACAGGCCCCTATAAGGAAACAAATAGATTCATCCTTACTACTATTATAAATAAGAAAACAACTGTTGTTGTTGTTGTCGTCGTCGCAATTTGTCGCGGTTTGAAGCCAAAACAACTGAACCGATTAAAAAATTATTTTTGATACACAGATATACTAGACCATGATACTACTTTTTAATGCGATAAAAGAGTTGCAAGGGAGGAATCGCTTGGAGGTAAATCTGCCATGGTACTTTGTTAGCAATGGGGTTATTAATCCACATTACTAACAAACACATTAGATAATTAGGGTTGTTATAAATCAAAAAACGTCCTTACCGACATTTAGATGCTCTAAGCCCGGGTTAGCTGAGATAATGGCGAGCATCGCCTTTGTATTTATGTCTGATCTGTACAAATCGACCCTACGCAGTTTCGTCAGTTTCGCCAACACTTCCCATTCGGTACACCCGACGACGGAACGCAGACATAACTCTGTAAAAAAAGGATCATATGTGTAACAAACTCCTTGTTATTTATTTATAATGGCAATATTAAATTAGGGGCGTGTACATGATTAAATGTAATGTGTTATAGTATGGCTTACCACAAAATTTAATTTTACTTATAGATTGACCTGGAGGGAAATCTAAATTGTAAGACAATATACATTATATTGAAGAACTCAAACTTAAATACTAGTATTTTTTGTTACGTGTTCTAGCCGTGACGGCAGCCTCATATGTCACGCTGGGGGACGAGTGCTGCTTGAAGGGACAGGTCTGTTCTAATCACTACTGATTAATCTTATTCAATTACTCAACCAATTGGTTGTGTATTTAATATTTTGACACTAATGAATTACTCCTATTTAGTATTTTGGATTTTTACTTAAAATTATAAAGGTCCATCAATTATTTAAAATAGCAAAACGGAAATATCCTGCTCATTCATATTGTGATGAGTCAGGTTTTCGAATGGGTTGGAGATTCAGAAAATAAGTATGACTATTAAAAAGTGCTTAAAATTTAAGTTTTCTATTTTATTATTATGTAATAAGATGTACGGACACGCATATTAGTCCAGTTTTAAAAAAATGGAGTCCAAGACGCGACGATCTTAATAATATTAGAAAAGCGAAAGTTTATAAGTATGGATGATTGTTACGCAAAAACTATTGAATAACACATAGGCAATATTTTATGTAGCAGTGATTCATATAGACATTGAGCTGTGTGCAAACTCTATTAGCGTATATAATCTAATATGATGACTTGACCTTAGTGATGTAACATGTCGTATCTTATTTTTAATCTAAGTGTAGTAACGAGTAAAATGAATCAACCTATTACTGCATCAATCTCAAATAAAGAGATTATGAGCTTAACCTATGATGATAACGATGTAACGATAACGATGATACGTGTATGTCATGTCATAGAAATAGGAAATATGTACGTAATCTATAGTGAACATACACAAAATTGATATAGTAATATACTTTAAAAGTTTTTTTTTTATATAACTGGAATAGCAAACAAGTTGGGGGAGTCAACTTGTTTCAAGTTGACTATGTTTTGAATCTGATGTGACGGGTTTTTTTTGTTATGTATTCTGGTGTGTAATAACACTAATAACACACCGGAATACATTACCATGTTTATATATTTGTTGTAATAACAAAGGAAGCTGCTTGACGGGTGAAATAGATGAGAGAGAGGTGTACCTAGATAAAGAATCCAATTAAAAGACCATCATTAAACATATGTGTATTAAACCTTTCGATAATTGGTATAACTTTTATTATAGATAATACAAAAATAATAACCAACCTTGTAAATTAGTGGAAGTGTTAACAATGGCTTTGAGCACGGTGTCGTCGACAAACTTACAACAATTCATTCTAAGATGTGTTAAATCAGCCTTACTGTCATTAAGGAAACTGCAAACAGATATCTTTATTAATGTATAGCTCTGTACATAAATGCATTAAAATAAATGCAATTAATTAAATTGCAATAATACAAGCACGCGAGATAAGTGGAATGACATATTAAATACGTAAAAAAAAATATACAATGTCTACATACAGATTTGAGACTATATTACAATTCTATAAATGTGTATTCTTAGTAATTAAATAACAAAAATATGCAAATAATAAATACCACATATTATTAGTTATAGTGGACAAAGCATTAGGCCTACAGGTATTATTTATATCCAAAGTCTGAGTTATAAGATTCATAAAACCGTCCATTAAATAGTCCCGTAGATTGTATAGGTCTTCATTAACTAGACCTCTGATCAACATCTTCAATTTACGTTTGTAACAGACATGAGATTTTCACAAGGATTATAAAAATAGATTTTATTAGATACTAATTCATTTTAATTAGAAAGTAAGTCATGAAACTATCCATTCCAAGGGAACATGATACAAATATTTCCTTGTGAATAAAAAGATGTCTAAATAGCAAAATATAGATAAAAATATAAAACAAAACTATTAGGACGCAATAATTAATGACAGTACTCACTCAGTAACAGAAGTGGGAGATATCTTATGACGACTGCCACACCAAGACAAATCGAATTTTTGAAGAAATTTGCAACGTTTAGATAAAGTTGCTAAAACCTGAAAATCGAATAAAATGGGACATCAATATAATAAATATACAGTAATATGTATTTGTTTTACATATTATCTATAATACAAAGAGAAAAAGAAGACATAAGGCAAACATATTTGCGATAATACTTATAAAACTGAAGAGTAAATTTATGTGTACTGCATACAGGTTTAATCAGATTTATTATAGTTGCATTCAGTCCTTTTTACTACTACAATGGAACAAATACTCTATTCACTATATACATAATTTTAAGGTAGAACTAACATAAGACATTTGTCATCTGATACCAATGTCTAAACACGCTTAACTTAAAATCGACTGCATTTACGGTATAATAAACCAGTTTTCATTCACAACGCATGAATAAGAATTAATAATAATTGTACAATATAAAAGACTAGTTTATGATTTTATAGCGGCATGAGGTAATAAATAAACAATGAGATTTCTATATAGAAACATAATATATATTATGTTATATATGACATATGACACATTACTCCATCTTTCTAACTATGAATGAAGCCAAAATCAATGCAGTGGTTACGGAATATGCTTTCCACATAGCAAAATCTACTCTATCTCTCTTTATATGTATTTGAGTTTTTTCCTTTCTTTTATTTTCGGTGGTCTAGCGGTCAAGCACACCGCTTTACGACCGATGGTTCGGCACAAACATTTGTATTTATTTTTAATTGTTTTCTATGCATAATATGTATATATTTACAAAAAAAAAAACTATGTATTTGTATCAGTTATCTAGTACCCATAACACAATTAAACATTGTCTAGACTGTGTGAATCTGAGATTATTATTATTATTTTTAATTTATTTGGTAAACAAATTTAATCTGGTTTAAGGCTATTTTGTAAATTTCAGTTTTATAATATTATCAAAGTGTTTAATAGATATGAAGAAATAAACTACTGTATATAACTTACATCGGAATGCACACAATACCAATATGGTCTGAGATCAATTTGTCTATACAGTATTACATCAGATGCGAGTCGGTTGAAATGAGTATTGACTTGCGCGCAGCGGAATAAAGATTGTATGTCCAAATATTTCATCATGTACAGTATTGTTTCGTTCTAAAACAAACATAATAATTATTTCTCTAATTTATTAGTGAACAAAAGGTTTTTAAAAAAAAAATATATAAAAGGCAATCAATGGTAAAAAAAATAACGGGATGTTTTTAAGATTCTGTAAATAAGAAATTGCAATTCTGGAATAGCAAAATTCACAAAAGAAAATTAATAGTTACTTGAGTAACTAAAAATAAATTAAGCAATCAAATAAATGATGAATAAAAATATTTGTACTGCACGAGGCATCCAACCCGCGACTATAGGATAAATAATAGGTAAGGCGTTGTGCTAAACCCCCAATGCCGTCTAAATATAGGTAATTAAGAAAAATCAAGGCATCGCGCTTTGCTTTATGTAAAATTATTTATAATCTTATTTTATCCTATAATCACAGGCCAAGAATACATACCTAACTAAATCTATGCCGTAAATTAAAAATGCCATAGAGACTAACATTTACTATCGAACTACAATAAAGCTTATAACACCATTCTTGATAATTATCAGGTAATTAATTTACTCACTAAGAATAGCAACACATTGTAAAATCAGATAATCAAGGTTATTATCACAATGGCATTTTGAAATACATATTAGCATAGATGTTTCTAATGCAATATGATCTTTAAAATGGTTAATCAATAGCTTGTAGAGTAAATGAGTCATACAAGGAAGATTAATAGAAGGAAAAATAACATGTAATTAATGCAAAGTATGCAAAGTGCATTGTATGTGTTTAAGGATATTTCATCATAGATATAATTGTTTCTATTAATATGCATATGTATATTAAAATAAACTGCTATTATTAATAATAAAAAAAACTCACAGTAAAACAACCAATACAGAAGAAACTACTGCAGATACTTACAAATATAACATATATATAGAAGGCATAACAATCTTCCATTGTTACTAGAATAAGTAAGGATGCAAGATTGTTGTGATGAAATATAAGATAACAATATTCATCATATAGACTTACTGGTAATCTTTGAAAATCACCTAATACTGTCTCATTATCAGTATTTTCAGGCTCAACCACCTTTGGAGGTACAATATTTTCATGAAGATTTGATGAAACTACCTTATTAAGGATTTGACCTGTAAAAATATATAAATATTTTTTATACAGCAATGATACCAAAGAATATTAGGAAGAAAATATCAAAAGCTAATAAAGATACACAAAATTAAAAAAGAATTACAATGTTAACTGGATTGTTCTGAAAACCATTTCACACAAATCTATTCTCATTTTTATTGCAAATATACTTATATAGATACACATATAATGGGAAATTAATAATAAGATACAAATTTCATAGAACATAACAAACCTTTTTCAAACGATTTAGAGCCATCCTGAGACATTAACCTCCGTGTAATTTTTGATTTGCATTTGAGTCCTTTCAGCAGAATTGCATCTAGCTCTGTGTAATATGGCAGCAATTTATGGTTGAATTCCAGCTTCAAAGTTCTGTCAAGATTTACTTTATTACAATTTACTTTCATTAATAGTTCATAGTAGAGGTTAATCTTTATTTTTAAAATTGGAAACATTGCAGAAATTGCCTGTGCTATAGAAAAAAGTTAAGCTGAAGAAATAAATTAATTCCTATATTTATAGAATAAAAATATAATTTGGCTCCATGATAACTGTTATTTAATTACTCCATATGTTATATATATTTCTAGTGTTTATCAATTCATATGTTAAAAACATTTCTTACCTAAAATTACAAATGTAATAGAAAAATTGCAATAAAAACTTACTTTGTGGAATCATTTATTAATTTTATTGTTGGGCTAAATACCCTAGGTGAGTCGCCCGCATACAGTGGTTCTCCTTCCCACAGTAAATACCATTTTGATGTTTGTATCCCAAAAGCCCATATACGGACAAGTGCTCCAGGATTGTATGTTTCAAATACAGACACTTCTAATGGGTAAACAGCATCATGGAATGACACTTCTGCCAAAATCAATGATATTTATGTACAAAATGGTTGAAATTATTTAAAAAAAAAATGGAAAAATAACTATTGTATTTTTTAAATTATTTGAATGTACCTTCAAAATTAATATATTTTAAGACGCTGCCTAGGGGCTGCTACTTATTATTTGTAAAAAAAATGTATGCACTGCAATAAAAGCTTATGAAAATTATAAAAAATGATCAGCATAACAACATACCTACAAAATCTTGACTGGTGTATACATTCTCGTTTTGTGGCATATAGTTTTTTAATCCTGATGGTGCCTCATCCCACCAAGTGCCATAGGTCCTCTAAAAGAAAATAGATATACTTTTTAATTTCATATTTCTGATATAGTAGGTTAATTAATTAGGGTTATATATTATCTTACCATCACAAAAGATTGAGGATAGTCTCCATAATCTGGAAAGTTCGAAGGTGGACCACGAAGGTTAAAGGCAGTGTATGAAACACTAATTTCACTTCCATACTGTGAACTAAAATCATCTACATCTTGTACAAATTGTTCAATAATTCTTGGTTGTCTAGTCTTGCTCTCAGATTTTGTAGACCTCGAGAAAGAAGCCATTATATCAGAATCGCATTCCATAACAATGTTCAGCGAAAAAAAAATATTTCAATTATGCTTTATTAATTACGAATAATACGACCGTAGATTCTGTGATCAAAAAAGAATTAAATTACACAAATATGTAATAATTAATGTCAATTATAATTCATCGTTTTAAAACACAAATTTATTGCAATTTTCATTTTGTATATGCATAATACAACGAGAGTATTGAAGACTGTAAACGCACAGGTAAATGTACTTTTAGCAAACTAAACAAAACAACACATTTCATTTATTAGACACAATGAATACTAATCACACAACCACAATAAGAAAACAAAATATTTTGTACTGAATACTCTATCGTAAATAAGTTAATGACACAAGTAAACAACAAGCGACAAAGCGCTTAAGTATGAACTGTCTGATCATTCTGATCGATAACAGGAGTCGTTTTTTTTTTCGTTCAGTTAATTCAATATCCATTCGGAGTCACTGAGACGAGACACTGAATTAGTTCACTGACAATCAATCACAAACTATATAGAGATGTCTGATAATTTATCTCATAACCAACCACTGACTACTATAGTCCTAATAGATTTGTAAACATTCTACATAAATTTAGACAGTTGCATTTATGTAAATTATTTATAATTTATATAATGGTAGGGAATGAAATTTGAAATAAAAATTTAAGGAAGGTTACACAGTACACTTTTATTTTTTCTAATAATCTACGTACAAAGTTTTTGTAACATAAAAAAAAGTCCTTCTACAGTTTTATATATGTAAAACAATATTGGAAAAATCTGATTGATTACATATACGAAAAAATATATCGCATAATAATTAGAAACTATAAAAAATTAAATCTGTTTTCATTTACAAATTATCTATGATACAAAACTATAATTCAGACAGATAGTGGCAACACTAATCACTGCAATAAAAAAAAAAGTCAAAATGGCAGCGGGACCAATTGCCGAAAGAAATCAAGGTATTTATTGTTTGTATACAAGTAGCTAACTAGTTAATTATGTAAAATATAATTAATTTATATATAGTTAACAGTTTTGACTCCAATGCTTAGGTTACTGATGTACTACCTAAGTCTTAATCTTCTAGCCTTGTAGGTTATGTTGATGCTTATTCATTATTCCAGGTTTTCCAAATTTAAATTATTTCTGCATTTACAATGCTGTTAATTATTTTGTATATTACAGAGAGCATAGGTGACTCTGCTTACTTTATATCAATATTCAGAAAACTGAATAATAATTTACTCCAAATAATGCTTATAAATAATATCTAGAAGTCGTAATTCTGATTTATTGTTTTTACATTACATATTAGTTCTTGCTCTTTTGTATACTTTTAAATATATTCTTTAAAAACTGGTTCACGTGTCTGTGTTCACATATATTAATTTGAAATATTATATGTGTCTTTAATTAACTAATAATAAAGAACTGTGGTCTTACTATTTTTTTTTTGCTCAAACATATTGATTTATTATGATTGAAGCTTTAATAATGATAATTACTAAAGAATCTGATTTATTTTAAAGATGCCACTATATATGTGGGAGGATTGGACGACCGGGTATCAGAAACATTGCTCTGGGAGCTATTTGTTCAAGCAGGACCTGTAGGTAAGTTGAAAAAGACTTCATGAATTTACTTGAACTTTATTATTATATTTTAATATTTGTATAGTATATGAATATCTATATATATCAAATCTAGTATATAACATACCTCATTTTGCAATATAATGGTAAATAATAAATATACATACATTGAAAAAAGGATTAGTTTAATATTACTCTACTTTATGCTTTACTTTTAATTAGTATTTGGTATGAAAAAATGAAATGAAAATTCTTATTGTTGCGCCACTCATTTTTGACCTCCTCGTTATGATGGTTGTGTTGTGTTTCAGTCAATGTGCACATGCCAAAGGACAGAGTCACACAAACACACCAAGGCTATGGTTTTGTTGAGTTTATGGGAGAAGAAGATGCAGATTATGCTATAAAGGTAATTACATAGATAATATACTTGTTCTGTTTTTGTTTCTGCAAAACTGAAGAGAGCTAATGAAGTTTACCTGCAGTTTTCTTTTATTAATTTTGTAATCAACTAATATTAATACATAATTTATGTAATGTAAACCTGTAAAATGGTCTATTTGGGAGGGGAAGAAAATGTTAGTAATGGTGATATTGCTAGCAATATATCCTATCAGGTAAAAAATTATATTTGACAGTTCAGTAATTACAACCTGTAGAACTGATCTGACTTCATCCTCATTATATTATTCTCCATTGAGTCTCCTCTATAGTGCTCCAATTTAATGTTATCCATTAAAAAAATAATATATATTAATTATTTTTGCTAGGTAGATCTAATATTTTGAAACTTCATTGTACCAAACTACCTAACCATCAAAATATGTACATTGAATATAAGTTATTATGTTTAAGTATTATTAGGAAACCTTACAATTCTAATACATAAAATCAACATTATATTTCTAGAAAATGTCAATATAATAATAGATTTTCAGAGACTTGTCAAAAGAAAAAAAACAATATGTGTTGGCTAACAGAATAAAATATAGAGGTAAATTCTTTAAATTATGTGATTAAATATAAGACATTATTCCATTTTATATGTTCTTTTAGAATAACATGTAAAGAGATCTACGATTAGAAATATTACTTAAAGTATATATATATAGTTGACACATCTGAAAATATAGAATTTTTACCATAATTTGTGTGGGAGAGTAGTTTCGAGAATAATAGGGTTCCATGACTGAATAATGAATGAATAATGTAATGGAGTGATAATTTCATACAGAAATGAGGTGTGCAACAGTTTAGAACCGAGTCTAATGAATAGTTTGTAGCATTTATAACCATCTGCATTATTTAATTCTAAATTATATTTGCAGGTTATGAACATGATAAAGCTATATGGAAAGCCTGTAAGAGTAAACAAAGCATCAGCTCATCAAAAGAATCTTGACGTTGGGGCAAATGTCTTTATTGGCAATTTGGACCCAGAAGTAGATGAAAAACTTTTATATGACACATTTTCAGCATTTGGAGTTATATTACAGACACCAAAGGTAAAATATTCTCATTTTTATTTAATCCCAGAAAATATTGCAGTTTTCTTTATTGGATGCCTATGTAACAGTGAAAGTGGTTAGTTAGGAATAGACATTATCAGTTCTATATATTGTTTACAATGAACTCTTCACTCTATGTCAGGTGAAACTTCACATAGTCACTCTTAGAGAAGAATATAATCAGACCCCTATAAACCTTTCTTTACTATTTAATTTCTATATATCCACATTAATATTGTAAATGTGAAATTAGTATCTTTTTTAACTTTTAAATACTAAATAGCTATAATATTCTTAATGAAATTTGATTTAAAGATGGTTTGTCTAAGAAGGTTGGGAGTAGGCTCTTTATTATAATAAACTGGATAATATGTAACATGATTTTGCTGTCTTTTGTAGGTGATGAGAGATCCAGAAACAGGCAATTCCAAAGCATTTGCATTTATCAATTTCGCTTCGTTCGAAGCCTCCGACGCCGCAATAGAGGCGATGAACAATCAGTATCTATGTAACAGACCAATTTCTGTGTCATATGCGTTTAAGAAAGATGTTAAAGGTGAAAGACACGGATCGGCTGCAGAGAGGTATGTTTATATATGTATCTGTGCATGCTAATATAATATATATAATAATATAAAAATTTCTTGCTATGGTTAACATTCATGATTGAGCCTTACTTAAAATCAAAAGTAGGAAAAATTAAGTCACCTAATCATAACAGTAACAGCTGGCAATCTTATAAGGTCTTACCCCATTACAAAAAACTTCATAATCATTATTAATATTGTAATTTTTCAGGTTACTTGCAGCACAAAATCCACTATCACATGCGGATCGTCCTCACCAGTTGTTTGCGGATGCGCCGCCAAGCATGATGGGACCAGTATTAATGGCCCCACCTCCGCCCCCTACACCAACACCAATGCCACCCCCTGGGCCACCTATGGGGGCTCGGCCACCACCACCATTACCAATGTCAGCACCTCCGCCGCCTCCATCCTCAATGCCACCACCTGGTCCGCCTCCTCCACCTGGACCACCACCTCCACCGCCCCCATTCCATCACTTTCCCCCGCCATTTGGACCCCCGGGATTCGGTCCGCCACCACCACCTGGTGCCAGACCGCCACCTCCATGGCGACCTCCTCCACCCTCTTTCAGGCCACAATTCCCCCCACGTGGACCACCTCCATTCGGTCACCCGCCATTCCCCCCGCACCACCCGCCTGAACCTAACTATAATTATTAAGTGAAATTAGATAATTAAATTCTATATTTTCGATATAACATTGTTTTTATTTTGACCATAATCTCTTTTTTATTCTCGGAGACTATATTAACATAAACTACTGTTTCCTTTACTGTCGTACTACTCAAACTCAACTCAAAAATACTTTTTTCGTGTATATAATGATTTTTACAGTATTAAGCTTCAATCCAACAATTATTTTCTTTCAATTTGTTTTATTTATTTTATAAAAAAGGCTGTCTTTATAAAATTGTTGGTATTTGTTAAATATGTGTCAATTAAAAAAAATACTATTTTCATACAACAACCCAATTATTATTAATAGGTACCATACTTTGTAATATTATACATGGTTATACGTCCGATAATGCCACAATCCTATTTAAAAATTGCACAAATCTGGCAATAGGGTAATGTCAAATTTGTCTCGGAGATTAAAAAAACTCGAGTCCATTAAACCGCGATATTATCCACGTGCCCGTTATTGTTAGGTATAAGAAATAACTTTGTCGTTTATCTCTTGTGATAGGTACAAACGTGCCAAAGTTCATGACTAATTAAAAGTGAAGGTACCTATATCTAACAAACAAATTCTCTTTCGCAATTTTGAAATAGAAATATTCTTATATGCAAATAAACTCAATACAAGCACTTTTCTAAACTGTAACTGAACTAAGTATATATTTTTTAAACTTTGTCTCATTCATGGGTCTGTCATTGATATGGTACACAAGAGTACAAAATTTTAGATTTTTGTTTAACTCTTCACTTTCGACATATACCTAATATTAAATTAAAAGACTAATCGTAATACCAATGCAGGGTTATGAGTTATATGAACAAAGTTATGGACGATCTTCATAAAGCCAGTCAAGTCAATAAAAATTGTGACTTCAGACAACACAAGTTTCAAATATAGATTTTATATATAAAATTATTCCATAATGCAATCTAAGCAATTTAAAATATTTTCACAAATATGATTTTGCAACGTATTGGGTGCATTCAATCGTTTAAACTGGACTGCAGAATGCTATCTCGAGTTGTTTTGAGATTACGCATAAATTTGAATTTTGTGGACAGTGTAGTTATTGGTTTGCCTGATATACCTACCAGCTCTAGTGATTCTTTGAAGCTTAAAATTGAATATCGTTTTGTATATAGACGTACTTACTAATAACTATTGTAGGTAGCTCAATTCGATTCTGAGTCGGGTCAATTCGTTATTTTATATTCCACATTCTTATCTACGATTATTTCCATTTTTTCTGCAACGAATTGTGATGAACCACGACGAGACGAGACAACGAGAATAAATGGAAATTAGATACGCAAATATTATTTTTGTGAACATATATCTACCTACCTAAAAATTTGTATCACAATATTGGCATCGGCAAATCCGCTTTATAACCTAAGTATAGATATCAAAAATGATCCTTATTGCACGCATCAAAATAGGGGTTAAATCTACCATGGTACATTTGCCTCGTGAATATAACGTGCATAGGGTTAAATTTGATAGAGCTGGCATTTATTCAACAGACGAACATGTATCGAAGTCTCACTAAAGAATGTATATATACGAGTATATATATATACACTCGTATATCTATTATATGGATTTTATATTTTCGATATAAAAACGTCTCGCATATTTAATTTAATTTTAATTTAAAGATCTAATATTTGTGCATTATAAAAATGTAGTGGCTGTTTAAATAAATCCACTTGAATACTTGAATGTCCAATCCCTCATATTGTTCCTACAATGCACACAACACCATGCTTGTAGCGTAAAGACAAGGCCACTCTATAATAGATCTCCGTGCAATATGCAGAGCACGTTAATGGCCCAGCCAGTGCGAAGGATTAAAAACATTGTTAACTCACAAAATGAAACACAAATATTTGCGTCATTCGTCGATGCTGCTATGCATGCAAAGGATTATAGCGCGTAAGTACTAAGGTCGGATAGTTCCAAGCTAAATTAAAGAGCCCAAGTTTGCAGATTAGTACCTATACAAACAGACTAATTAAAAAGAAATATAGGTATTTTTATAACTATTCAAATATTGCTGTCCGTAGCTGGACGAAAATTGAGGCGAGGGCACTTCAAGCTCGTGGAACGGTTTATAGAGTGGCTGAAAGGCAACACTGCTAATACATAATAATAATATTTTTCTTGTCAATTTTTCTTAAACGCTTAAGACTACTTTAGCTTGTATAGCTAAAGTAGTCTGCGGGTTTGAATATAATAATAAAAATCACATTTCTATAAAAATGTTTCAAATGATTTTGATTTTGACTTATGGGTAGGTATGATGCGCTTCATTCTCTTTGATTGTAATTTTCGTAGAAAATTTCATTACTAAATTAAAAAAAAATACTGGTGTTAAAGATTTTATTGAGCCAGGATACTAAAGTAAATAGGGCACAATAAAATTGATAGATAGTTAAATGAATCGAATCTCAAAATTTTATCATCAAATCGTTACGCAATCTTCACGGTCAATTTTATTGGGGTGTTCGTAGTATGGACAATAAAATTGATCGTTTGCGTCTTTCCTAAGAGTAGTCGCTGATTGAATTAGGTTTTAAGAAATAGGTACTTAGGTAGATACGTATAGGTAGGTGCTCGTTTTGCAGTAAGTAGTAAAGTGTTATCTTAGTACCTTTGAATCTTGTCAAAATTATATATCATATATAAGAAGGCTCTTACCGCCGACTATCAGAAATTCGTGAACATGTAGAGGCCTACAAGTTCACGAATTTCTAATAGTTGGCCGGAGCCAACTTATAATTACAAAATTTATAAAATACAAAGAGAGACCTCTTTTGATACGTGTAACAGTGACAATGATTTAAGATCCCTGATCCACATAGCGTTTTTCGCAGTCAGTTTTGCTGTATATGGTAGGGATATAATTAGATTAAGAAATATATTGACAAATATTGGTATAATATTACATATAGCCACTTATTATTGCAGATAATAAAACTTGGCGACAGAAATTATATTATTGAAGCATTGAACTGGTATATAATTTAGAAGAAAGAACCAACTTATAAGTATGTGAATATACAGAATCTGCTATACCTACATATCGGTACGTTGGCATAGAAACTATTTCTATGCTTCGCTAAATAACCACTCGATTAGGGATATTCGTACACATTTCATTCGTTATTCATATAATAAAATTGTAAACGAGCCATGTCTGTCTCACATTAAAATATCTTACCCAGATGAAACAGTTTTTGTCCGATTGGCTGTGCGGTTCTGAGACACGCTAGGTAATCTCAGAAATTGCTTAACCGCATTGATTTTGTGTTTTCCGTAACGCATTGTAGGAAAGTTCCTGAAACTTCTAAACGACTCACGCAGGACAGTAAAATCAAGGGCAATAGGTATAAGAGCAGTGGTACTATAAACACACACGCCATTTTTAAATCAGGCCAGGACAATCCTCCGCACCACTGCCCCGACAATGCCCCTGATTTTAGTGTCGTGTGTAGGCCATTTTAATGTTTCTTTAATTGAAATAGGGAAATACACATTATATTATGGAAAGTAAATTATATTCCATTTTTATTCCGAATACTATAGATATGTAATTGCGGGCAAAGCTAGACTAAACCGCTATACGGCGTATCTACTGATAAAGTAACGCATTGAATTCATTTTCCTTTGTGCGACTTACAATGATAGTATTGGATCTGATCTCATCTTCAAATAGGGGATTACCTGTGGGTAACATGCCCGATTCATAATAAAATATTATTTTATATTATATAGATACAACATAATGTGTAGGTATGTATACGTAGATACTTATTATTGACTCGTGAAGTCATGCAAAAATATAGGGGAATAGCAAGACGAGAAAGTAGGTAAAATTTAATAGCTGGAATAATAAGATTTCTCTTTCGTTTTATTTAATTCAGTGCTTGTGAGTTTCTATTTGTTAATAATATTGTACGAATGATATTGAACTGTTTTGGTATTATTTAATGTAATTACGTATTCCTATTAGTATGTAATGTTATATTATCTATTCTATTAGTAATGTTTAGCTATAATAAGTATAGTATGTATTCATCTAGTTTTATTTTATATATTTATATAAACTAAATACCTATTAATAATTGAAATTATATATACGTTTATAAAATTTCTTTCAAATCCGTATTTTTATAATTTTTTTCGTATAAGAGTAACAAATATTTAATATTCTTTATAAAATAGATACAGATTATTCTATGCTAATGCAAAAAGGATCATATGTGTTTTGGCGCCTCGTTATTCTTTTTGTACCTGCATTAAAAGTACTGCCCATATATCTTAAGTACCTATACATAAAGATAAATCGTGAATAGATTAATTCAGTAACCATTTTTCTAGAGTCATCTTTGTATCGATACATAATTCTATACCTCACGTGACTGGTAATGCAGGATTTATCTTATGCACCACTTTTTGTGTGTTCACCACAATTTGTGTCACATGTGACACAAATTTGTCACGCACAACCACACTGTGGTCTCACGTTCCAGCAATGGTATTTCCGAACCGATACGATATTTAAGCCTTTAAGAAAAGAGCTCATTCCTTTTTAAAAGGCCGACAACGCAATTCCCTTGGTGTTGTGATTGCTCATGAGCGGCGGTAATCACTTATTATAAGGTGAGTCGCATGCTCGTTTGTCCCTTTAGCTATAAAAAAAAAACAGATGTGCATCACAGTATACTACATACTATACTTCGCGCAGCTCACGTCATCAAAACATGAATTTTACTATTATATAACTGTTATAAATAAGTAAACAATAAATTCAAAACAATCGCGCCATAAAAGAAACTATAAAATAGAAATTGATGGCATACGCATGTTTTACGAATAATAAAGTTCATGCTCATAAAATAGCAGATGCAAGAACTATGAAGAATCTACAAGCATTCATAACTCTAGTCTGTGAAGTTTACGAGTTCGCCATACAAGATATCGGAAAGCGCACATTTCAGCT